GGTAGGTAGGTAGGTAGATAGGCAGAGAAAGAGATAGAAAGAGTGAGAGAGATCAAGCACCTTTCAATCCATCAGTGGATTCGCTTTGCCATCCCTGATTCACAACAACCAACCTCTCCTATAGGTTTCCTATTTTTGAAACTTCCGCCACCGCCTTGTGCGGTACTACTGGTATTTGTTTGTTTTATATTATATATTTTTTTTAAATCATCGAAGGAAGTTTAGAAGTCAAATTTCCGACAATACGGAGAGATGAAAAGCAGAGCAGGGAAGAGGCATAGAGAAGAGAAAGATTAGAAGAGAAAGAGTAAGAAGACAGAAGATACAGATGCGCGAAAAGGTGGGAAAGTCTCCCAAAAGCGGCGGGTGCGGTGCCAGCTGGCCAGAGGAGAGATAAAAAATTGCACGCCGTTGTGGCGCGAAGCACATTTCCAAGTCAAAATGTACAAAACACACCAGGTCCGGACCACTTTTGGAAGTTGAGATGTCGAAAAAGTGCACGCCGTTGTGGCGCGAAGCACATTTCCAAGCGAAAATGTACAAAACACCCCATTCTCGGACCACTTTTGGAAGTTGAGATGTCGAAAAAGTGCACGCCGTTGTGGCGCGAAGCACATTTCGAAGTCAAAATGTACAAAACACACCATTCTCGGACCACTTTTGGAAGTTGAGATGTCGAAAAAGTGCGCGCCGTTGTGGCGCGAAGCACATTTCCAAGTCAAAAGTGTTAAAAACTGACGGTCTCGGACCACTTTTGGAGGTTCAGATGTCGAAAAAGTGTCGAAAAAGTGCACGCCGTTGTGGCGCGAAGCACATTTCGAAGTCAAAAGTGTAAAAAACTGAGGGTTTTGAGCCTTTTTTGACGTGAAGATGTCGAAAAAGTAGACACTGATTAACTTAACTAACTTGACTAACTTAACTAACTTCACTAACTTAACTACCCTAACTTCGACGACAACAGCAACAGCAACAGCAACAACAACAACAACACCAACACCAACACCAACCACAACAACAACAACTACAATAACGATAGATAGATAGATAGATAGATAGATAGATAGATTAGATAGATTAGATAGATAGATTAGATATAGATAGATAGATAGATTAGATAGATAGATAGATAGATTAGTTAGATAGATTTAGATAGATTAGATAGATTAGATAGATTAGATAGATTAGATAGATTAGATAGATTAGATAGATTAGATAGATTAGATAGATTAGATAGATTAGATAGATTAGATAGATTAGATAGAGATTAGATAGATTAGATAGATTAGATAGATTAGATAGATTAGATAGATTAGATAGATTAGATAGATTAGATAGATTAGATAGATAGATAGATAGATAGATAGATACATAGAAAATAGATGGGTAGGTAGGTAGATAGCCAGAGAAAGAGAGAGAAAGAGTGAGAGAGATCAAGCACCTTTCAGTCCATCAGTGGCTTCGCTCTGCCATCCCTGATTCACAACAACCAATTTCTCCTATAGGTTTCCTATTTTTGAAACTTCCGCCACCGCCTTGTGCGGTACTACTGGTATTTTATTATATTACATGTTGTCATAGTAAATCATATTATATATGTTTTTCAATATTATATTATTTAAAATATATTATTACATATTATGATTACATATATTATATATATATAATTATTATTTATAATATATTATTTGTTCACAATAAATATATATATATATAATAATAGTAATAATTATTATTATATATATATGTATATGTATTAAAAACTCATTATAAGTTTATTTGAATATATATAGTAAAATATATGTATTTACATTATTATTATTATATATATATACATTTACATATATATATTGTATCATTATGTATAATTATATATATATATATGTTCAAAGGTATATGGATTGAAAAAAGGAAAGAATTAAAGGGATTTCAAGAGGGCGTTTGGCCGCGGACTTGGCAAAGTCGGGACTTGACCACCTCAGGGAAGTCAACTCACAACTGCGGAACCCAAAATCAATGCCTGCCTTTCGGCATTTGAATGTTGAACTTGGTTTACAGAGGTTTACAGATTGTACAAAGAGGTTGCCATGGCCTTTTTTTTACTTGCTCGGGCAGTTTTGGACCTCACTATATGGGTGAAACTAAGAAAGTAAGGCTCTCGGCGGTCAGATTGACCAAGCATTAATGGAGTCCAAAGTGTATTGACTTATTGGGACCTCATGTTATTGGGACCTCATGTTGCGGCCTGGTCCATATGTTCGGAAGCAGACCTGGAATGCTTTAGGGCTGCAACTTCAAGTGGCCCCTCATCGTTTGACATGGCTGTGTTGTACAAGTGAAAAGGTTTGGGCAGAGCCATAAAAAGACGAGCGACCATGTTGCAAGACCCACACCCTTGCAACGTTTGCTTGCCCGTTCCTTATGGTTATTCGATACAATACAGCCAGGTGCCCATTGTATCTTCTGTTTTTGTTTTACATGCTGGTCCTCGGGGGATAGTGCGGGGGAGGTCCCTATCTTTTCCCCGTCTTGTTCATTCATTGACTGACCGACTAATAGTGTGACAGTTCTATTTCCCAAGGCACAGACTCAGTTTTAGGAGTGACTGCTCCATGAACACCAGTATCCTGAATTTGATATGCCTACTAGGCTTTATTGAAACCTGCAGGTGAGCATGCTATCCTCATTGAGTGGGCAGATGCAGCAGACCATGGTTATGCAGATGGTGCAGCAGGAGGGCAGTAGTTTTTTTTGGGCGACTTCAAGACCACGTTGTTTTGCGCTTCGCAATCTTTGGGGGCTTCGCAGAATCAGAATATCAGAGACCCTTCAAGTGCATTAAAATCCCCTAAACCTCTTGGGATTTCTCAAATCAGAGCAGTTTTAGTGACATTTTAGTGACTTTTTCTGGAGTTCCGTAGGTTTTCACATGTTGAAAGCGATTTTGAAGGTGCCCTGAGTCTATCTCCCCTGGCAGAGGACCAGAGAGTCTTGGAGCTTTTCTTGGCTATGCAGGGTGTGGATGTCAGCACCATGCGTCGGGGTGACTGAGTGGGAAATGTTGGGGTGGCAATCTTGGACATGGGGGATGCCCATGGATGTGTGGCAATTTTCCTGGGGAAAATCCCTATTCTATATATATATGTGTGTTATAGCAATTTAATGGATGATGGGGAAAACCATGATCAATCATGGGATGGAATGAGATTTCAAGGTCTTAGACAACGACATCAGCATCGTCTCAGGTTGAAGGCAACACTGCTTGGCTGACTCAAAGGATCCAAGCAGCACGCTATATGCATCTATGATTACACATCATGTATGATGTTTTACACATGTACACGACACAGAGCATATCTATATACAGTATACAATATAAATACAGGATACATATATATAATTAATCATCATCATTACACAGATACGACTATATATCAACATAAATGACATACTCCATTCATGTCGTATATATTTTAGCCATGGTTGGTGTTGTCTTTGACATCTGTTGACTGTTTTCCATCCTATCTGAGGGCCGGAAGACTTCGAGCAGCCGGAGCCGGGCAGCCTTAATGGATGTGTGTCAAAACATCTGTTCTGTTCATGGTTGTTTCATGGTTGTTTCTTAGGTCTTTAGAAGATGTTTCTTTTTCCGGCCATTTACAAAAACATACAAAAACACAAACCGATTGGTCATTTTGGAAAATGGATGGGAGGGGGTAAGTTCCTTTTATTTGAAGGCACAAAGGAAACAAAAAAGTGGATCCCTGACGTATGAAACGGAAGACCTATACTATACGCTTCAGCCTCCAGTCTACCTTGAGGCCTACACCAGCTCCGAAGAAAGAGCAGCCGAAAAAGGAAGAGCCAAAGGAAGAGGACTGTGACAATTTTGCACATGTTCAGATTGTTGGACATACAATGCACATGTTATATCATATATATATATATATACATCATATATATATGTATGTGTTACATATTAATTATAGTATATATGTATATACACATATATTATGTTTTATTATAAAGATTATAGTGACGGACAATCACTTAGAACGTAATTTTTTTTCCAATTTTTTTTTCGTACTTAGAACGTAGCAAAATTTCATCACTTAGAACGTAGGGAAAATTCATCACTTAGAACGTCAAAATATCACTTAGGCCCATTTATCACTTAGAACGTAAACCAACACTTAGAACGTGCTAAGTGATTGTCCGTCGCTATATAAACTATTTTTTCGATTTCAAAATCAATTAAACTTCCTTATATAACACAATGAAAAATATTGCCAAAAATTGGATTTCGAAGCGGACCCTAATAATAAATTTAAACGCTTAATAAGAAAGACTATGTTTTCGATTTCAAATCAGTGAAATTTCCTTATATAACGCAATTAAAATATTGCCAAAAATTGGATTTCGAAGCGGATCCTAATAATAAATTTAAACCCTTAATAAAAAAAACAAGTTTTTTCGATTCAAAATCAATTAAATTTCCTTTTATAACGCAATTAGACTATTGCCAAAAATTAGATTTCGAAGCGGACCCTAATAAATTTAAACCTTTAATAAAACAAAACTATTTTTTTTCGATTCAAAATCAATCAAATTTCCTTGTATAACGCAATTGAAATATTGCCACAAATTGGATTTCGATGCGGACCTAAATAATAAATTAAAACCCTTAATAAGAAAAACCATTTTTTTCGATTTCAATTTAAATATTGCCAAAAATTGGATTCCGAAGCGGACCCTAATAATAAATTTAAAACCTTAATTTTAAAAAAACTCTTGTTTTCACTTTCGAAATCAATTGAATTTCCTTTTATAAAACGCAATTGAAATATTGCAGAAAATTGGAATTCGCAGTGGAATCGAAATTATGTCTATGTTTCCTACGGAATTAGCTGCTGAATCCAACACTTAGAACGTCAGAACCCCCAAAAAGCACCAAAGAGTATACCGTTCCAGAGATAAAAGATCGCCAATATTTGCAAATCATATGGGAGGGAAAAGCCAAATGGTACGAAATTATGTCTATGTTTCCTACGGAATTAGCTGCTGAATCCAACACTTAGAACGTCAGAACCCCAAAAAGCACCAAAAGGATCCAAAAGGTATAGTGTTCCAGAGATAAAAGATCGCCAATGTTTGCAAATCATATGGGAGGGAAAAGCCAAATGGTACGAAATTATGTCTATGTTTCCTACGGAATTAGCTGCTGAATCCAACACTTAGAACGTCAGAACCCCCAAAAAGCACCAAAAGGTATAGTGTTCCAGAGATAAAAGATCGCCAATGTTTGCAAATCATATGGGAGGGAAAAGCCAAATGGTACGAAATTATGTCTATGTTTCCTACGGCATTAGCTGCCGAATCCAACACTTAGAACGTCAGAACCCCCAAAAAGCACCAAAAGGCATAGTGTCCCAGAGATAAAGAACGCCAATATTTGCAAAACATATGGAAGGGAAAAGCCAAATGGTACGAAATTATGTCGATCTATGTTTCCTACGGAACTAGCTGCTGAATCCAACACTTAGAACGTCAGAACCCCCAAAAAGCACCAAAACGTATAGCGTTCCAGAGATAAAAGATCGCCAATATTTGCAAATCATATAGGAGGGAAAAGCTAAATGGTACGAAATTATGTCTATGTTTCCTACGGAATTAGCTGCTGAATCCAACACTTAGAACGTCAGAACCCCCAAAAAGCACCAAAGAGTATACCGTTCCAGAGATAAAAGATCGCCAATATTTGCAAATCATATGGGAGGGAAAAGCCAAATGGTACGAAATTATGTCTATGTTTCCTACGGAATTAGCTGCTGAATCCAACACTTAGAACGTCAGAACCCCCAAAAAGCACCAAAAGGATCCAAAAGGTATAGTGTTCCAGAGATAAAAGATCGCCAATGTTTGCAAATCATTTGTGAGGGAAAAGCCAAATGGTACGAAATTATGTCTATGTTTCCTACGGAACTAGCTGCTGAATCCAACACTTAGAACGTCAGAACCCCCAAAAAGCACCAAAAGGTATAGTGTTCCAGAGATAAAAGATCGCCAATGTTTGCAAATCATATGGGAGGGAAAAGCCAAATGGTACGAAATTATGTCTATGTTTCCTACGGCATTAGCTGCCGAATCCAACACTTAGAACGTCAGAACCCCCAAAAAGCACCAAAAGGCATAGTGTCCCAGAGATAAAGAACGCCAATATTTGCAAAACATATGGAAGGGAAAAGCCAAATGGTACGAAATTATGTCGATCTATGTTTCCTACGGAACTAGCTGCTGAATCCAACACTTAGAACGTCAGAACCCCCAAAAAGCACCAAAACGTATAGCGTTCCAGAGATAAAAGATCGCCAATATTTGCAAATCATATGGGAGGGAAAAGCCAAATGGTACGAAATTATGTCTATGTTTCCTACGGAATTAGCTGCTGAATCCAACACTTAGAACGTCAGAACCCCAAAAAGCACCAAAAGGATCCAAAAGGTATAGTGTTCCAGAGATAAAAGTCGCCAATGTTTGCAAATCATATAGGAGGGAAAAGCTAAATGGTACGAAATTATGTCTATGTTTCCTATGCGGAATTAGCTGCTGAATCCAACACTTAGAACGTCAGAACCCCCAAAAAGCACCAAAAAGTATAGTGTTCCAGAAGTAAAGACCGCCAAGATTGGCAAATCATATGGGAGGGAAAAGCCAAATGGTACAAATTATGTCTATGTTTCCTACGGCTTAGAACGTCAGAACCCCCAAACAGCACCAAAGGGTATACTGCTCCAGAGATAAAAGATCGCCAATGTTTGCAAATCATATAGGAGGGAAAAGCTAAATGGTACGAAATTATGTCTATGTTTCCTACGGAATTAGCTTCTGAATCCAACACTTAGAACGTCAGAACCCCCAAAAAGCACCAAAAGGTATAGTGTTCCAAAGATAAAAGATCGCCAAGATTTGCAAATCATATGGGAGGGAAAAGCCAAATGGTACGAAATTATGTCTATGTTTCCTATACGGAATTAGCTGCTGAATCCAACACTTAGAACGTCAGAACCCCCAAAAGCACCAAAAGGATCCAAAAGGTATAGTGTTCCAGAGATAAAAGTCGCCAATGTTTGCAAATCATATAGGAGGGAAAAGCTAAATGGTACGAAATTATGTCTATGTTTCCTGCGGAATTAGCTGCTGAATCCAACACTTAGAACGTCAGAACCCTCAAAAAAACACCAAAAGGTATAGTGTTCCAGAGGTAAAGACCGCCAAGATTGGCAAATCATATGGGAGGGAAAAGCCAAATGGTACGAAATTATGTCTATGTTTCCTACGGAACTAGCTGCTGAATCCAACACTTCGAACATCAGAACTCAGAACCCCCAAACAGCACCAAAGGGTATACTGCTCCAGAGATAAAAGATCGCCAATGTTTGCAAATCATATGGAAGGGAAAAGCCAAATGGTACGAAATTATGTCTATGTTTCCTACGGAATTAGCTTCTGAATCCAACACTTAGAACGTCAGAACCACCAAAAAGCACCAAAAAGTATAGTGTTCCAGAAGTAAAGACCGCCAAGATTTGCAAATCATATGGGAGGGAAAAGCCAAATGGTACGAAATTATGTCTATGTTTCCTATACGGAATTAGCTGCTGAATCCAACACTTAGAACGTCAGAACCCCCAAAAAGCACCAAAAGGTATAGTGTTCCAGAAATAAAAGATCGCCAATGTTTGCAAATCATTTGTGAGGGAAAAGCCAAATGGTACGAAATTATGCCTATGTTTCCTAAGGAATTAGCTGCTGAATCCAACACTTAGAACGTCAGAACCCGCAAAAAAAGCACCCAAAAGTATAGTGTTCCAGAAGTAAAGACCGCCAAGATTGGCAAATCATATGGGAGGGAAAAGCCAAATGGTACGAAATTATGTCTATGTTTCCTATACGGAATTAGCTGCTGAATCCAACACTTAGAACGTCAGAACCCCCAAAAAGCACCAAAAGGATCCAAAAGGTATAGTGTTCCAGAGATAAAAGATCGCCAATATTTGCAAATCATATGGGAGGGAAAAGCTAAATGGTACGAAATTATGTCTATGTTTCCTACGGAATTAGCTGCTGAATGCAAAACTTAGAACGTCAGAACCCCCAAAAAGCACCAAAGGGTATACTGCTCCAGAGATAAAAGATCGCCAATATTTGCAAATCATTTGTGAGGGAAAAGCCAAATGGTACGAAATTATGCCTATGTTTCCTACGGAATTAGCTGCTGAATCCAACACTTCGAGCATCAGAACTCAGAACCCCCAAAAAGCACCAAAGGGTATACCGTTCCAGAGATAAAAGATCGCCAACGTTTGCAAATCATATGGGAGGGAAAAGCCAAAGGGTACGAAATTATGTCTATGTTTCCTACGGAATTAGCTGCTGAATCCAACACTTAGAGATAAAAGATTTCACAATCCTTTCCACTATCATCAGTGACCTAGACACGTTCTAAGTGTTAAATCACCGGTACGTTCTAAGTGATGAATCTTGATATTTGGACGTTCTAAGTGTATGGTTTTCGACGTTCTAAGTGCAAGGCTTAGAACGTAAAAAAAACAGTAATATTCAGAAATTTTTTTCCAAAATACGTTCTAAGTGATTGTCCGTCACTATATATATATATACTTGTACATACATGCATACTTACATACAGGCATGCATCCATGCATCCATTCATACATGCATTATATAATGAAGGCAGCAACCGACCCAAGCAGTGGCCCAACCCTTTGACCGTCAGTGAACGTATTATTGCCTCGTTCAGTGGCAAATAAGGTGATAATCCATGGAAGAAGACCTGTTCATCAAGAGGTAGAATCAATCCCAAGGGGAACATGAGCTGCTCTCATGTGCAGATTGCAAAAGCAGACAGCCCACTTCAAGAATCACCTGGTCCATTGGTCCTTAGGTCCACAAAGACCAACAATTTCAAATTGCTTGGCCTTTACTTTTCGGATCTTTTCGGATCTTTTCGGATCTTTTCGGCAACTCCCAGGCTTGAAGGAATTTGGAGGGTTACAACCACGCCAAAAACCGCTATACCACCCTTCCTGTCATTTGTTTCTTTAAGTGAGAAGCCAAGCACCATGCCGTGGTGTTGCCGTTGCGTCTCCAGCACAGGATCTCCGGTCTCCAGAGCAGAAGGAGGCGGACGAGTGGAAATCCAAAGGCGAGAACATGGGAGATGAACAGTTCATGCGTTTCAATGGGAGGTTTCACCAGCAATTCGGATTTAACCTGCAAGAATTAGGACAATCAGCAAGAATTGGGATTGAAGAACAAGAATCGATTTACAATTTCAAAAATTGGCGATTTCACCTGCTAAAGTATCGGTGGGGGGATGAACATGACAAGCTCTCAAGTCTTGTTGCCGTGATCATCAGGGTACCAGGATTTTGACTCCAAACCCTGTAGACTGCCTGTAGATTTAGGTGCTTTATGGCCCTTGTGGTTTGAAGCCTGGACTGTCGAAGTGTCAGGTTGACTTGCATACTATGTCGTATTGCTGTCTTCTGTAGGAGGATTGTGGGGCGCGCCATTCCCTCCCAGGATGTTCGCACAGGTCTTGACCTGTATGGATGAATTGGATGAAGGGTATCTGGATTTTTGCTAATCGACTCAGACTGTCCTTAGAAGCCTCAGAATTTGGCTGCGTCATGTGAGTGGAATTTCCAACCAGCTTTGAAGGCAATGAATTGTACAAAAAGAAACAGTTTAAAGAAGCCTTGGAGATGTACGACAAGGTGTGGGATGTCCAGATGATGCAGCACATTTGGAGCGTTTTTTCTTATTGACATTGTCAAACAGATCCACATAGTAAGACGGTTGTCGCCGACTGCAGGCCATTGCAGTGGTCCCCAATGACATCACGTACCACAACAACAAGACTCTCAGCTGACAGAACTTTGATGAACTTTGTAGCATGTTGTAGCTGAGGGAAAAGCCTCACCTCATAGCACGTAGCAGTAGCAGTAGCAGTAGCAGTAGCAGTAGCAGTAGTAGTAGTAGTAGTAGTAATTAGTACAAGGAGAGTCGTTAAGGATCAATGTAATTATATTATATTATATCAATGTCCCCCTGCCATGTTACATCCATCAGGAATGAGACAGTCCATGGGAGAAGAAAAGCTATGGTTGTTGTGCAGTTCAGTTGTGGTAGTAGTTCATGGCAGCAGCTTGTGTTTGTTGGCCGTCTCACAGCTTCTCGAAATCCTAACTTCGACGTCCCCAATCTGTTTCGTTCAAGACATTGTTGTCAAACAGTAGGGGTTTTAAAATAAAGAAACTGGAACTGCTTCCTTTTTCGAGTTGGTCAGCATCACTCCCAAATGAGCCTTGACACCCTGGGCCATGGTGAAACCCCCTGTGTCGAGGAATGCGGTGCTGATTGAAATGGGAGTGGAGCAGCTTGGCATAGTGCAATGATGCGCAATGCGCCGCGAGGGATACCTCAATAAACAGCCCAATGCGCGCAACATTGATCGCTTGACCCACCAGTTCGTGAAGACCGTTCCCCTACGTTTTCCTCACAAGGTACTATGATGAAGTGCTCAAGAGCTGCCAAGACCTGCTCGATCGACGCTATGAGATCAACAGGCCAGCCACTGCTTTGCAGGAGGTTCGATGTTTGGATGGTAAGAATGGGTTCAATTTTGTGATATATAATATATACAATGTAATATAATTGTAGGTCTGATACGTAATGCACTTTCATGCACCGTCGAAGATGTGATCATGATACAACCATTGCTTATAGTTTGTGATTGACTGTAAATGAAGCTACTAAGTATCCTCTTTCATTCCTTCTTACAATAGTTTATCATAGTTGCACACAAAGATGCCCTAACCATCCCAAACCCATTGTTGGTGGAGGTCCAGAATCTCCCAGGAAAGCCACAAAAATCACCGGCCAATCTGCAGTATGAAACATACCGTCTCAGGCTGAAATACCCAGACATCCCAGAGCCATATCAAAAAACTCACCCATTCCCATGTCAAATTCTGAGGTCTTTGCACTCATGTTAAAAAGATGTAATACTGTAATTAGTACCGCAATCCCACTGGTTTCTTTGTTGATCCAAATTGATACCATCAATTGATATACGGTGCTGCCTCTCGACCCAACTGCTGACAAGATCCCCATGATTGCTGGTGCTGTGGCTTAAACTCATCGAATTATCATATAGATCAGTTGGGGATAGCAAGTTTGTAAACTTTCAATAACTTTCATAATTCAAGGAAATAATGGAATTACCACGGAAACAAGGTTTAGGATAGTTGCCAACCAACAGTTTTAGATTGAAATCCAATTTGACAGGGTTTTGAGATGTTTTGAGCAAATTGCACGTAACTGCAGCCATCCACATGGCTCATTTTGTGAAGAATTTGGCTGGCACACTAGTAGATTTTCACAGCGTAGGCCAAATAAAGTAAATAAACTATGCGCAGAAAACAACAGGAGCCATAAAGAAACGAATGCTCCTAAAGAAATCATCCAAAACAAATACTTACAACATCTTACAACAGCTCACTGGACTTGCTCCACAGCAACAGCTGTTGGTGTTGGGCATGACCATGGTCAGCTGCTGGCTAGCAGCCATTCGAGAAATCATCTATATACATTCTTCAATTATTCAAGTCTTTTCGCTTTCGATTGAAAATATTGTTGAACTATCTTCATATTACTTGTTTTTCTTGGTCTTTGGTTTTTAAATGATTTTAAATGTACAGTAAACATGTTTAAAATTGCTTTCAGATTGATGGAATCAATGCTTTTTGGGTGACGATCCAAATGCTGAAAAGTGGTGCCTGCCGCTGCGGCGTTTTTTTAAAGATTCATAGAAGTTTCTTTTGAGCAGCCGGCAAGGTTTCTGTCTGCAAAAAATAGAAAATAACATATGCATTGAAAAGATCAGCGTAAAAACACGACAAAAATAAGACGAAATCGGGGCCATGTCTTGAAATTAGTTAATTAGTTGTGCAACCCTTTTTTCAACCACCCCACATTTGATTTGTGGATTTTGCATACTGCATGCACCGTATTTCCGGGGACAGACCTTAAATCCAACCCCGCCACCTTATTTACGAAAGTTAACAACCAAGGTGATCATGCTGGTAGAAGTCATCCTGCCATAGATATACCCAGTTTACATATCTTCGTATGTATATATTATAATAATAATGATAATGATAATAATAATAATAGTATATAATAATAATTAATGATGATGATAATAATAATATAAAAATAATAACAATAACAATAATAATAATAAATAAATATATATATATATATTGGTTATGTACACAGCCTGAATATTATACTTATACATATATATATATATATATATCCATTTCCATACCCATCCCGTAGAACACCATCCGAACTCAGCCGTCCTTTTTCAGTGCGAATCCTGGCGGCGCATCCTTCGAGAAGGTGGCCAAGGTTGGGAGCCATCAGCCGCCCAACGGGGCCCCCGTTAAGGGCCCCCAATGGAGCTGAATGATTTGGGGGTACCATGGGGTACCGAAATTTTAGGAAACCAATATAAACATCTTAAATAGGGATCTTAAATAGGGCTTTGAATAGGGTTAAGAAGCAATATCTCCAAGATTATTCTAAGATTGTTGGTCCGAAGAGGTTCTAAGATTTCTAAACAACAAGAGTTTACCATTTGTTGGTCGTATCCTGCGATAGTTGGGAGTGTTTTGAAGGGTATCCAACTATATATAAATATATATATATGGGAGAACATGACAATGATATAACTTAACAAACGACTGGGTATCACCAACCTGACGACGTGAGGGTTTTGCCACCACGCATGAGGCTGTGATCACCCGAAATGTGAGTGAAAAATGGGATAGGATATAACCATCAAGTCTGGTTTGGCTATGCTTGGCTGGAAATTCTTGGGTCCACTTTTTTCCGAGCGATGCCCTCCACATCCTGGATCTGGACAGATTTGCTTTCGTCAGGTCTTTCAAAGAATGGCCTCCGTCTATGAGAAGCTACACAAGCGCTGAGCTCAAGTAAGAGAACAGGTTGGCTTGTCCGGCTGCTTTTCAGCGGTGTTCTCCAAGTACCCTTTGGCGATTAAACATGTCATTTTATCTAGACAGCCCCCTGGTCTTCCTACATCTACAATCAATATGAAGGGAAGGCTTCTTTGGCAATAATGAAGGTTGGCAATCTTGTGCAGAATTGAGGTATGACGATGCCATTGCCATGTACAACAAGGTCGGCATGGCAGGAATATGTGCTCTATGGGATAGAGCATCTGTTTTTTGGCAAGTACTCAACATGCTCCACATCAACCTTTGTTCGACCTTGTCGTGCTGCATGATCTTAGCATGCTTGTGTCTCAATTATGTTGAGTCTAGTGTGAGGACTAACACAACTCCATTGGTTTAGTTTGAACATATAGACCGGGTTTGGCTTATGATTGGAACATACTAGTGATATCTCATGATATGTATATATATATATATACCTCATATACATACAGTAATATGTATTTATATATATAACTATATATATAATATCTGTATATATGATATAGGCTGGGGGGCCACTCTGATAGACCAATTATATAAGATTTGTTTTTCAATATGTAATATGTTATATATATATATATCATATTTTCTTCTACAGGTCTGGATATGTTTTTTTGCACACATCTTAAACCAATCTGAGCTGTCATGTTTTTTCCGTGTAGATATAGAACTATGAACAAAAACATATCTTGAGTTGGCTTCCACTCAATATTGTCAACGCCATCAGACCAGGTAGCTCTCTGCACGTGGGTATCCAACTGCTCGACTGTTGGACACGAATGCCGCTGGCCAGGCACTCACAGAAGACAATAATCGAAGTGTCCGAAATGCACTGAGAGAGCCTTGGACATATGTTTTTTAGAATGAGAGATATCCTGACTCCATGGGTTTCTCGAGATACATGTCGCATGTATACATATAAGAAAACCATGGATTCATGCCTATTGACACAAACGATACATAGGAATATATATGATTTTTTTTTTGGTGGATGTAGTATACACACGATTTTGTTCAATTTTCCCCAGATTGGAATGTTCCAAAATTGTTGGCCCACAACACTGGAAGGTCAGATCCTGAATTTGAGCAGGTATTTTCAGGTCCTTCGGTCCCCCACTCCTGAGCAAAACGTGAGACATCCAGGGTGAAGGAAGTACTGTACATGCTTAGCTGCACGGTGGCACCACGGCCAAGTAACTTCAAAAGATGCACTTCTACTTGCACTTCTGCGTTTCCTTTGAGCATGCCGCCGAATTGTCATTTGCATTCTATGGAGCCGCATCCTATTTCGTAAGACATCAGTGAACTGGATTTGTTCGCTTCAGACAAATGGAACGGTCCTTATTCAAGTCCTGATTCTTTGAGTCTCAAAATTTCAAGTAATTACAGGAAGCGTATCAGGGCAGAAACACTGACCCCCACCTGAAGTCAGTCAACTCAGGACTGTGAAAGAGCCAAAGAAAAGCATGAGAAGGACGCTTACCTTGATCCTACAAAGGCCCGGTCCATAAGAACCCCTGGTGGATCTTTCGCAGTGGAATCATGTGAGGCTCTGGTGTTTTCTGTGAACGTTCACGCAGAGCCATGCTGCGAACAGGGCAAGTGCTCCCAACGTGGAAGTCAGAAAAGTGCTGACTAGTGGCACTAGTGGTTGAGGAATCTGCAAAAATCTGACCTTGACTGATGGATTGCGGAAGCATGCTGAACGCCTGCATTGCACAGACATTCCGAGATGCCATTGTCAGGGAGAAGAGCACAGGGAAAAGGGCAACGAGTTCTTCAAGGAAACCACTGGGGGAACATGTGGTGCGTTGGCAAACGACAAAGATGGGGGATTTCCATGGATTTCCCATATTATTTTGCTGGGGCAGCCTTGTTTTGCTAAGTTGTTCTAGTGGTTTGCAATGAGGAAATCGATCAACATGCATCAACCAGATCTCGCCAGCTGCGGCAACTGCCGGGCCGTTGGAGGTTCAAGCTTGAAGAAAACATAACGACACCTCAACACAAAGCACATCAAAGCACCCATGAGCAGTGATCAAAAACCCTTGGGGGCTATGAACCTACCTGGATTCTTGGGGATTATCTGACCATTACGGGAAGCCCTGTCAACCCACCTATCGAACCCCCCCTCTCCTGTCGATGATCAAACCTGGAAACACGTCGAACCAAACACGTCTCAACCTCAACCAAACCATGCCAAAGCCGTCAAAGCAGTCTGCCCCATCTCAAGATTAAATGGTTCTGCCTGCAGAATGAGATGATGAGCCATAATCATTTCTTTGTGTCGGGCCAATTCTCATCATTGCTGGTTGAATCCTCACTTGAAGCCGTCAAGGCACGATATGATTTCACTCCCCATCCTCGATATTTATTCTATCTATTAAGAAGTCACTTATACTCCAAATTCTCCAAGACATATAATGAATCGATAGGAGAAAAATGATGATACATCGATATAGATACTATAGAATTCCATAGAAGTCAATAAGTCCATGAAGAAACATATAATATAACATCATATATATATATAATATAATATATATATATATAATATTATATACATAAACCAGAGGAATCCGCCGTTGCTTGGCTCCTCACAACGGCCGCCTGGTTATATGGCGGCCTGGCATCGTCCCTGGGAGTCTTCACGGGATCGCTCCACCTTCGCGCTGGGCTTTTCTTCGGCCTTGGTGACCGATGTCTTTTTGGACCTCTCCAGGAGCGATCGCCTCTGAAAATCGCCGGTGAAGTCACGGAAGAATGGCCTGGATAAAACATGGGGAATTTATGGTTGACTTTTTGGGAAAAATGGGGAGAATTATATGGGATGTATGGCAATATAGCAATATCTGGATATATGTAGATGATTTTGTTATGAATGGGATATGCTGGGGATGTGATTCACGGGGATATCATTACCGGAGATTGCATAATGATGATCATTATCAATACATACTATTTACTACATTACATGGAACAATCATTTCCGATGATTCTCATCATCATCAACAACAACATCATCATCATCATCATCATCATCATCCTCATCCTCATCCTCATCCTCATCCTCATCATCATCCGCCTCATCCTCATCCTCCTCCTCATCCTCCTCCTCATCCTCATCCTCATCCATATAATCCCGTATAATTCTGTAGTATTAAAATAAGTGTACACGTAACCGTGTATCATCTACATTCATAGAGCATAGATGAGCCAGATGTGATATGAAAAGCCACGGTGCCAAGGTTTTGGTCCCGCGGGTTTTGGCACGGGAATGATTTTCAGATTGAATTGATAGGGAAAAATATTGTGTACTTATAATGGATATAGTGTGATATAGTTGTGGTTTGGTAATGGTTGTGGTATGGCAATGGTTTACGGATGGAATGGATAGCAGTGGAGGGTACTAGATCGTACTGGCAATGAATTTCCGTAGACAATTCCAGAAATACATCCCACCGAGAAGAAATATCCAAAGAAGTACTGGTTGCACACAATGATAGTGCCGGATGGATTTTTTGGATGGGCATCCATGACTTGGATCATTTGGGGTACCCTATGACTGAGTCCAGGAGCTTTTTGCTGGCACTACGACAGGGCCTGGTGCAGAATCCCCCTGCCTACAGTTCGGAAGCGACCATCCGTCCAGGCAGATGGTGGCCTGAAACTTCTCCATGCCATAAGATCAACTGCTTTTGGGTAATTACTGTAGATAGCAAAACCAGTTCCCCAGAGGGACTCCGGGCCGAGACCACCATAGCTTTTGATCAACCTATAATTAGTGCGGTTTTCAGCGGAGATGCACGTTGCCTACGTTGCCTAAGTTGCCTACGTTGCCTACGTTGCCTACTGCCAAGTCCAAGTCAAGTGTTTCACTAGCACCAAGATCCGGGTGGTTTGCATTTCACATCCATGCTGTCAAGGGAAGATCTGCGGCACCATCTGGGTATGGGTCAAAATTATTGCCACTTTATTGGTCCATTGGTGCCCCAGTTTTGACCCACATCCAGTTGACCACAGGAAGGTGACTCACGCAAATGACTCAGGGGACTTGTACTATTTGCACAAGATGATGCATAGCGCGCACGATGCTGCCATCAAAGCCATTTGCGGCCTGGGCGTGTCAAGCGAGAGCCTGCTGCGATTCTTCTGCGTATTTAACTTCTTTTTGCTCTTGCTGATAGGGGTGGCTCAGCAGAACTCGCTTAGCAGAACAGCAGGTCTCTTGTGAGTTGTCACTCTTCTATCGGTTGTGAATCCTCATGCTGATCCGAGAGGTCAAGCTAGCCGGTATCACGTTTGGCTTCGATTTCTGGAGCATAGTTTGGTGGGTCCATGCGTACACACAGTGTTACGAGCGAGAGAGAGAGAGAGAGTCAGTCTGATGTAAATATCAGCAGCAGAACATCAATGTTACTGTCGAAACATGGTGCACAACACACAGAATTCAATGAATATCTGCCAACTCCGAATCCACATGGCTCAGGTTGTCCACCTGGCTTTCCTATCTCCTTACAGCCAGCTGCACTCCGCCTATCAGCTTTCTGAGTTGATCCTCCGGGAGGGCGGTTATTGCCAGGCTCATCCCCGGTTGATATTTTTTTCACACTCCCCAGACACCATGGTTTAGGGCTTAGGGGATTTACATGGATTTACACATTCTTTGGCACCATAGAATGGAGGGTGCTCAATGTTAGGGGGGTGGGATTAACCGATTAATCTATGCATCGAGATGCATGGGGTACCCTTGCCATCTCATGACGAGTTTTGCAAGGGCAAGTCAAAAGGCTTGGGAAGAGTCCTGATAACAGCAGCATGGGTGTTGATGGTGTTGTTTGAAGAGAAGAATTCAGGATATAGAGAGCCTGTGTGTTGAACGCAACCATATGAAATAGGAATACTATGGAATACTCTTTATCAGCAGGACACACAGACAAACACAATTACATACTGTTAATTATGTATAGACCTATAACTAACACAAACAAATCACCGCAACAATTGGCCCCACAGGTCATCTTCTCCTAATTTAAGAGTTTCGTAACGCCAAGCGTACCATGTCCCCGCTCGCAGTCGATGACCACGCCAACCTTGGTGCGGCTAGAGTTGCTGGATACCATTTGGGCCCGACAACCAGCGAATGTCACGGAAACGAATCAGTCAGAGGCAGTCCCGGCTGGGAAATACATCCTGCTGGGAATTGGGGATGTGAAATGAGCCAAGGAGCCAAAGACTCTTGAGGCAGCAAGTTTAAGATATGTTAATGTGGTTGAATGTGTAGGTTAGGAATTTGTCAATTCAACATGATCCAATCACGTTTAAACGGTTTAGCTTTTTGGAATGCTGGCGTAGATTAGAATACTCCCTTGAGAATTGTGAATCGGATAACTGTGCAGAAACTTGTCTACTTTCCCCAATTCAAGCATGTTGAGTTAGATGCCCTTGCGAGTCTGTTTGACAAGGTCCTATTGCACTGGGCGGGTGAGTTTCTCACACTTAAACCATCTTCAAGCTACTCTCGAAGTGTCAGGCAGAATTTCAGATTCATCTCCTGTGAAATTTCCATGGGAGAAGTTGTCAAAAATTCTTTGACCGCTGTGGATTACCCCACAGAACTGCGCATGCTTGGTATGACCATCAATGACCATCACTGAGCTCAGGCGGAAATCCTCCGTCACTTGGAAGACCTCCTGAATCTTGCCTATGATACGGCAATACCCAGGCCTCTGGGGGAAGTCATGTCGGCACCATCCACTGCTCGAAGGGACCCTGGATCCCTGGGCCCATGGGTTACATGACTCAAGAATACACAAGATCAAATCGAAAGGGACTGTGACGGATTGTCTTCCCATGTGGCTTGTTTTTTTGCAATGAACCAAGCACTTTTCTTATCGCATTGCAAGAGGAGCACCCACCTTGGACATGGATATGAGATCAGGGAGATAAGACCCTGATATTTGAAGGTGTCCCTGGCAGCATGCAATACGCATTCGTTTTAAATTGCCTTCAAGTTAACTGGCACTCAGAGTGAGTCCCACCATAGACTCTCAATCCACAGATGGAGTGTCTTTGTCCGGCCACCAATCGGTGTGGGAGTTTTGAAGGGAATGCTTTAGATAGAAACATAACATACGTGTTTAAGATATATTCATGAATATTGTTAGACGTTGATAGATATATTAAGATAGATATTGGCAGATATTGACAGATATCAATACATGTGTATAGAGATATATATATATATATTGATAAATGGTGACAGACTTTAATAAATAATATATATATACATATCAATGGATATTGATAGATATTAGTAGATACCAATAAATATGGATGGACTTTAATAGACATTAGTGGATATTGACAGATATCTATATGGATATCAATAGATACTACTGTTACTGCTGGATACTGCATATAATTAATATGGGCATATTATAAATCAATATTCATACAGTCATAGTAGCCACATCCCATTCCGACGGCACATGACGTTGACAAATAGTAGGCCCAGCTACGAGATCGCCACAGAGACAGCGGCTCCGTGGCTCCTGGTGTCTTCTGAGATGAGATCCAAACTGGGGCTGAAAATCAAAGAGATCCAGGCGAAACGGCTGAAACGGCTGGGACCTAGATGGGATGGGATGATGTCAGATGGTCAACAGCAAAATATGGCTCCAACGGATTTATGATGACCCCCATTTTATTGGATTATATAGACCTTTTTGTGTGGATTCCGATGGGATGGATGACCCACACACATATCATGCATGTATGTTCCATGAGTTTCCAAGGGGAATGGTATGTTGGAATGTCACCAGGAATCTGGTGCATCATTTGGATGTGTAGGGCCTCCAAACCAGTGGTTTTCCCATGTTTCCCGTCGCCTGCTGCAGGTCTCAGTCGATGATGCGCGCTATTTTGGGCCCTACTGGGCAAGGAGATGGCCAAATCCAAGGGAAGTCAAGTCATGTGGGCAACGTTAGGCCTATGTGACATGATATAAACAAAGAAAGCACAAAGAAAGCACCCCAAAGAATCCCAAACAACAAAGCACCGATGTGCTCTTTTGTGCTTTTTGCAGGGGCATAGTCTCGGGGCACATTCCCTCCCATCAAATGGATCTGAACATGGATATTACAAATAGACTCCAAACGCGAATTCCTCGGCATTTCTGACAGCCTGTCAGGTATTTTTGAGGTAACCATGCCAGCGACTGGCCACAGACTGGCCATTTTATAGAGTTTCAATCTATTCTGATATGATCAAAGGTAGACCTGAGGGACCTGCCAGGACGTTGATGTCAACCTTGGGGCTCTACGATTTCTACGTGTTGCATGCCGTTCCGCTGCGTTTGTTCACCTCTCCGCAGTGTCGGATGTGGAGCCCAAACACGACCTTACATGCGCGGCTTCGCAGCCGCGGCACCCTTTCGTGTCTCGGAAAAAAGGTCTTCTGCGGATGAGTTCTGTTCATGGATGATTGATCGATACAGAATCAGAATTCTACCCGGAATTAAGGAAAACAAGGACCCATAGTGGTTTCCATTTGTTGGGCTGATGCTTGCAAAACACCTGTCAAAATGATGAATTTGCTTTTCCTGATCAACTTTGCTCACCTGTTGAATATTGAACTTTCAGAATATGCATCACCAAAAGGAGACAAGATCAAGTTGCTGTGCCTTGAAGATCAAGACCTATTACTATCACCATGATGCTTTGAAATGGTGATGCAAGCATAGGGGATATCCGAACCATCATCGCTGAACATACCCTCTGGTCATCCAGCCAATGAACATGCACCAGTTCTAGAGGATTTTCCATCAATACACATGGGATCACATGGGGATGTTCCATGGGATTTTCCAATATTTGATTGCTACGATCCTTTGATTCTCCAAGGATCAAAAGAGAGTTTTCCCACCATGGTTTCACAGTTAAGTAACCTCCAAGATGTTCCAGGCTTGGGCCAAGATCTCAGGATTGTGCATGAGGTTGATATCATATATGATATCATGATGGTGATGGTATATATATGTATATATTATATGATGGTAGATGGTCATTGCATGAGCTGTTTGCTCAGGTTGCTTCCAGTCCAGGAGCGGATCATAGCGAGTCGCGAAGACAATGCGACCTTTGCGAAGCAATGCTTGAGGGATATGGGATGGACGGCCCTGTTTCTTTTCGGTGTTTTTCTGGAATCTGGGCTGCATTACCTTCTATAGTAATTTAACATTTGCGATGGAAAATTTGGGAATGATTTCAATAGGTCAATCATCGAACTAAATGGGCCATCGAGGGCCATTTTTCATACCAAACTGTAATTTAACCGGATGGTCAAGTACGCAGCTTTCAATCGTCAACAGCTGTGCCGATAATGTGCTGATTGCCCTGCGGCTTATCCTGTTTATCCAATGAGATGTTTTTCGGATTGAACCTGTCAACTTACACTTTGACAAGCAATTCCCAAAATGTTTTGTTGCTTTTTGGGCGTACAGGGTAGTATAGTGTTATATATTACTAAAAAATCGTTTAACTGGGTTAATTGAAATCGAATTTGAATACCCTGCCACATCCTGCCACCTATATCAGAAGCGCAGCTTGGCCACTGCACGCCACTGCTTGCCGAGGTGTGCGTTCTCTTCAGCAGCTTTCTGCGCAGTTTGTTAGTTTTGAGTTGTCGCATGTACGTCAACAATCAGCTGCTTGCCGCTGCAGCGAGATTGACATCGCCATGTCATGCTATGTGCATTTCAGCAGCCGGATGAGTTAAGGCAGTTCAAAATAGCGATGCGTGCCTAGATCATCCCAAACGAAGGATAGTGCATGATGTGTTTCAAGGTCACATGAAGTGTAGTTGCAATTCGCACATGAAGTACTTAAGCCCACAGCAGACAGCGGGAGACGCCCAACAAAGGTTCTGCTTGCGGCACTTGCGGCGCTATGCCTTCATAGCTCAAGAGATGAGAAGAGTGAACCGAGCTGCTTCCACCGTGCTGTTAGAACTTTGGGTTGCGTGGGGCGCGAGCATGCTGATCCTGCTCTGGACCGAGCTTGCAAAGTTCAGGGAGCCCATGGTAGCTCTCTCTTGTTTGATATTGTAGGTTGGTGTCATGTTTGAGTTCGGAAATGGCCCTTATATAGACTAATATTTATTGTGTAACATTATGTGGATTTGTTGTTTGTTTGTTTCTGATTTTGATCGCTCATTTGTCAACCGTGATGGGGTTTTAATGGCCTGCTTTTAAATTGCGTTTCAATGAGAACTCTTTTTATGTTAATGTGTATCAATATTGGTCAAGCCTCTGGAAACTGGCATATTATATATAGTTGCGATATGTTACAGTAGTATCAGGCAGTGACGAGTAACCCGAAAACCAGATATATCATCACCGAGCTTCCGTTTTGTGCTTAGACCATATTTACGCCATGTTGGTCCATGTTTGAGTCTAGCACTGTAGCAGCCTGTATAGTGGTATTACCAGAATAGGATGAAAAAGAAGACTTGACGACTTGTGAAATATGTGTGTTCCGACCATTCTGCAGAATGCTATCAGATCTATCAGCATTCACCAGTGATCCGAGCACGTCTTAGCCATGTCAGCCGGTATGCCTGAAGGATCATCATTGAAGCGGGACATCGGTCCCATGGCGCTTGGTCTTTTTGGATCATTGGATATGGCTTCATGGAGTTCTGGGGCTTGGCACATGTGCGCAGCAAACAAAGTCGTTGGATCTTTCCACGGGTTTCTTGGGTGATCAACGCTGGTGCTTTTGCGTATCTGGACGGCACTAGACATATTGTGCTTAGGGATGTGCTTGGCACATGGCATGTTTGCCCAAGTCGAGGTCATCCTCAGGTTCACCATTTAGGGTTGGAAGATTCGATTTCAGGGACGATGATGATATCTTCCGACTGATTGTAAACATCCTAGTAACTTAGGAAGGCTGCATGACTTACCGGATGGTTGACATAATTGTGCTGTTCAAAGGATCGTTAGGTTCTTGTCAAGATGATCAGATCAATGGCAAAGATGGCCACTATCTCGTTGGCAGCCCTGTTTCGCTTTTGTGTGAAGTTTGGACAGATGGTCCCAGAATTGGTTTAAGGGATTCACAGGAAAAAAAATAGATCATCGTTTCGTGTAAAATATCCCTTCAACCAATCCGACCAATCCATTGTTTCAGGTATGTATATTGGTGGCCCTTGGCCCCACAGTGGATCTTGGTGTCCTTGGTGCTGTGGTCAGACTTAACGTTCCTCGTCCCGTCAACGGGACAGGGAGGCATTGATGACCATTGATGACCCGTTAGACCTGGGAGCCACAGGTGGCCAAGGGTGGTACAGCAAGGATAAGTGGGATGGTTCACAGAATTATCATGAATTATTCATATTATCCCACTATATCACACTTATATAATATTATTATTATTATTCCATAATATTCACCATAATAATATTCATCATAATAATATTCACCATATACTATTCCCATGATGGGAATGCCCAAAACCCGTCCCGTCGCGGGATAGCAGATCCATGTCTCGCTGGGCCTCGGCGAAGTACTGAACACGAATAATGGTTGTCAAATAAATATGTCAGATAATTTATGTGAGAATATATATATATATGCATTATTATCTGACATATTTATATATATGATTATTATCTGACATTTATGTGACAATATTATCAGATATGATTTGATCATATATATGATGATATATGTCACTGCGACTGCCAGGCTTAAAATGCCAGATCAAACGTCAGAATTTCTGGGAGAATGTCAGATAGATTCCAATAGAATTCCCGACAAAATGTTAGATATTTGAATGTCAAAATATATGTCAGAACTGATGTCGAATAGTGTCAAACAAAATGTGGGAATATATGTCAGATGATAGAATGCCAGCTGGAGGGGATCACTCAAAGAAAGTAAGATATTTTTCTTACATCTTCTTACCTTCAATTGTCTTGCTACTGGCCTCTACGTGTTGTTGTAATACTCTTAGTATGGCTTTGGCGGTCATTGTTGTGGCTCTTGCTGCTATCTTTGAGGGGATTGGAGCCACAAACCAGTCACCAGCATCCTAATGGCCAAGACAGATCCACGAGTTTCAGTTAGCGACCCACATGGACAGTGAGGCTATGTTTCTACTTGCTGATTTACTTCGACTACTGTTTCTCCCTTCCACCACAGCCACCGCACCAGCTGTTCGTTTCCTCGCTGCTGTTGCCAGCGGTGACCCTTTCCCGCAGCGCCGAAACGCAGACTTCGGAAGCCGCACAAACGTCTGACGGAGAGGTTCAGTCGCAGAATCCCAGATCCGGAGTTTCAATCGAGTAAATCACTGTCAGGGCGATGCGGCGATGCGTAGCAATGCTGCCTGTGTCTAGCAACTGAAACTGTCAGATGGGTATGGATCCAAACAGGGAACTCCAAAATTGTCCAATGGTTTTCGAACATCACCAACTATTGTGGGTTCCAGGGCTTTACATTTTGACCCATGCCCAAATGTTGAAAGTGGCAAAGTATTTTAAGAGGGAACTTGCCATTCCCATCGCTCTTCGGCTAAGATGGCTGAGTGTGTTTTGAGTGCTCTTCTTGGAATCAAATTGGCGGCAGGGGACGATCCAAATCCAGTGCGAGAAGGGTGAAAAATTCGTCGGTGCGAGAAGGGTCGCCTGTAACCGAAACCCATGTAACGGTCAGGAAGAGACTCTTGGCATCTGCCATGTGCCAATCAGAATCTCAGAATCTCCATCTCAGTGGTTGGTTTTATTGTCACAATCTGGGACTCGGTGGAGACGATATCCCCAAATGTTGATTAATTCATCAATGTGGTTTAGTCCGATCAATGTCACCATCTCCTATATAATCAATAGAGATCAATAGAGGTTTATTGGAAATTATAGCCCAAATCTATTTGGATGATTTAAGATGACCCCTTAAAAATGCTTGGTTACTGGGATGGTTGGATTGGGATTGGGTGAATCCCACATTGCCAGGAGAAGAAGTATGCTGAAGCCAAGGCAGAGTACGACGAAGGGATCAAGAGAAATCCCAAGGAGCAGCGCCATTGTTCTGTTGCTTTGTTATGGGTGTGTCTGAAAATGGAGTATGCCCCCAAATGGCAATTTTGATAATATTAATATGATCATGCCCATAGGTCTGTAGGTTTGAATCCAACCAGTTGAGCAGGTTGGTATCTTCATGTATCTTCTGTTTTGGTCAAGGCACATCTCATTTCTATGGTCCTGGTGATGGGGTTAGAACATGTTGGAACGGGACCAAAACTCACCAAGAATTGCCATGCCGGGGTTGGTCACTTCACCCATTGCAAAGGTGGACACATCCTCACATCAAGACAAGAGTGTGGGTAGGCTTTGGGTGGTCATACCCTGATCTATAATATATATATATAATTGCCACACAAAATGGCATCAAGATGCCACTTAATGGCTCATTTCCAGTCAACTCTTTGGGTCCCCTAGTTCATTTAGAAAGCAACATGTGTCTGAAGGTCATTGGAGTGTTGGCCATCGTTGTGAGGCGAGCCTGTTGCTAGGCATTTGGTAGTACACTTACTTTGATCATATTTGATCTTATCTGAAGTTCGGTGGATACTTGTCGAATTGGGTACCCTAAAGAGTGGGATTTCTGTTTCTGGCGGCAAAATCCTTGAAGATCCACCCGGCGCGCAGCCACCGATCTCTTGGCTCTCCGCCGGGTTTCATCGGCGGGGTCCGTGACAGCGGCGACAGTGGTGGCCTATCCGGTGCCCTGAACCGCGTTGTGTTATCAGGTCGACTGGACGAAATCCTACTGGGAACCCCTGACTACCCAGAGAACAGGGAGGATATTTAATGATATTTCAATGATACTTCAATGATATCTCAATGATATTTCAATGATATTTCAATGATATTTCAATGATATTTCAATGATATCTCAATGATATTTCAATGATATTTCAATGATATTTCAATGATATCTCAATGATATCTCAATGATATTTCAATGATATTTCAATGATATTTCAATGATATCTCAATGATATTTCAATGATATTTCAATGATATGTCAATGATATCTCAATGATATCTCAATGATATCTCAATGATATGTCAATGATATCTCAATGATATCTCAATGATATCTCAATGATATTTCAATGATATTTCAATGATATTTCAATGATATCTCAATGATATCTCAATGATATTTCACTGATATTTCAATGATATTTCAATGATATTATTCCTTCCACTCCAAAAATATTAAGCATTTGCAAGTTTTTCTGTTACATGACAGGCATGACCACGCTCGTCCGCAGGTACTGAACGAATTCAGCAGCCCTGCGGCTGCATCGGGATACATCGTGCCAAGCAGATTGCTTTCAGCCTCAACAAGTCAGGAGGATAAGATTCCCATTGCCCCATTGTTTCTCTTGACTTTGTCTCATGAGTTTGAAAGGCATCACAGATCTGTGTCACAGATCTTCACAGCGTTGTGAGTGTATCATAGTTTCACATCCTAACTTTGAGCATCGAGCATTGATCTTTTGGCTACCAACATCTATCAACCATGGCACGGCACCTTTGGCCGGCTTTGGTCATCTTGGCGGTTCAAGGCAGCGGGCAGGGTGATGGAAATGATGATTCGAAATAGGAGGAGAAACTCCGTCAAAGGTCAACATCACAAGTTCATACAAGTTCTCAACTTTTCGTTGTTTTGTTTGGACCTTCTCACTTTTCCACATTCTCCATACGTGAGTTGTGTCCCCAAGTGACCCTTTCTGAATCTTTCTGACCCATTGGGATGTGGAAAGGTCGCTGAATCCCCCCATCTTGCAGGTCGAGATGATGGGAAGAGTGCAAGGCCACGGATTTTCAAGGACGTCCACTTGTCCTGCACTTAAGGACCCAAAAAATCATGACCCTGCAGTTTCTATGTGTCAATATGGGTCAAAATATGTTCATATTATGTTCATACCATTATGGAAAGAATACTACTTATATATATATATATAAATAACTTAACACATTATACACGGATCCTTTTCAAAGCTGGTTGAAGTAACAAACTCCAAATTTAAACTCTAATTTAAACTCCATGATGTTTAGATTTGGAACTCAGTTGGTGTCTAGTGCCTTGCTTCCAGGTGTACCAACAGCATGAGCTTGCTACAGGCGGCAACCAGTGGATTGGGAGTCTCAGACTTGAAGTTGAATCAGACCCAAAACTCTGAGTTATCGAGTTGGGGTTAGGGCAAACGCTCAAAACTTGGGGATAGAACTTGACATGCCAATACAAAGTGATACAAAGCTGGACATTTGATCAGGCAATTTGGGTTCAGTGTGTCAGAGAAATGCTGAGGATAGCTAAAGTTGGGCGTACAAACACCGTTTCGTGTCATCCATGGGTATCGGTATGGGTCTTAGGTGATGGGAATCCATTTCTGAACGGTCTCGGATCCCCACTTATGGCGTTGCCTCAAATTCCCACTTAATTATTGGTGGCTTTGTCTCGAAATAGGAAACCCATGGAAACCCTAAAATTTGATAGTTTATCATCATATTCAATCATATTCCCCACCACAGTAGCCATTTTGGGAGTAATTACCCCATTGTCAGACACACCAAGCTGTCATATTCAGTGTGTCCCGTTCTCACATCCCATTATATTCCCATTATATCGCCACTATATCCCCATGTATAATCGAATACATAAGCACTGCCGGCCATATGTAACTTGCCACAGGCAACCTCCGCAAAAAGTCGGATCACACCTGACATGGATGGTGGGGCGCTGAGACAGGGAGGAGGAAACCAACTAAGAAATGCAGGTTTCAAGTTGGATTGCCGGGGAAAATCGGCTACACTTGCATAAACCAGAAAAAAGAAGAGTGCTTTTCAAACGGTTTTGGTTATACATGCCATTTGATTTTTAATCCCGATGATGATTGACTCACATGTTTGGGAATTTGCTCGATGCTGCACTAGCAATGGTGCCAGTTCCTCATATGGTAAACGGATTTCTTATGGTACTTGCGGATGGCTGGAACCATGAAAAGCCATAAGAAAAATCATGAAGCACGCCATATCTTGCTGTAACACTATATAATGCCACAATACATTACACTATTATTTTATTTCGAGGTTCACCAGCACACCAGGATTTTTTGTCATCCCAACTTTCCCAGCCCTTCGCCCCTTGGCTCAGTCGGTGACGACTTCTTGAACTTCAGTGGCAAAGTGACGCCGCCGAACGAAGTGAACCGGAGCAGCCTTGCCTCAGAGGCAGGACATGGCAGGACCCCAGGGCCCCAGGGCCCCAGGACCTTGGTCGCCGGAATGGGAGACGACTGAGGAGTTGAGTTGTTCAATTCTTGGAGACGAGACGAAGCGAAGTAACCATGGATATTTTGGAAGAGGTTGAATCATTTCGGAGTATTCTCCACCAGGAAATCAAGACTTCGGCCAGTTTGCCCTCGCAGTGTAGGAGAAGGTTAAGCATTTAAGCAGTGGTCTAGAAAGATCCAATGTCGATATAAGATTAAGATTATAAGACATGTTGAAATGGTGAGGTCACACATTCTAATATTTGAATCATTTGAGGCGTTGGTATCAGTTGCTTCATGGTACTGATAGATTCAGTGGAAATGACCCCTCAAATCACCAGATAGCCAGACTTAGCTATGTATGATAGATCATCATCAAGACATTTGGCTGAGAGAGACATATGTTCTCCTTTCAATGGCAGGTGACCGCAGCAGCAGCAAGAAGTCATGCTTTGTTTCAGACGGCAGTGCCTTGGAAAAAGTTTCTTCCAATGTTAGTAAAGCAATCATAAACCACCCATATTTTGATGCTTTATACTACCCATAAAAATAAGAAAATTGGGGATGATGAATCCTATTTGCTTTACTAAACATCTTATGTGTAGATTATCTATGTACACTTATATATATATATTTGGATCATTATACTGTAGAATGCGCATCAAAGGGATGTAACATAGGTAAGTCACGGTGCAGATACCTTCATGATTTGATGGATGATTTCACGTGGACCTGTCGCAGAGGTTCATACCGTGAACCAAGAAGTGTCTACATCGCTCTCGCAGGCCACGTTGGCCCTGAAGGTCTAGACCCACAGCTCTCCAACTATTTCAGTATATTTCAATCATTGAGAGTAACTTTCACTCTGGCATTCACATAGTGGTCACCTTGTGGTCCTTTGAATACCGAACTGATTGCAAACTGAAGAATCATTAAGTCAGATTGACATTTGGGACATGTCCAGATCTGTCGATGTTCGGCTCCACTGCCGACACGTCAGAATTTAATAGAATTTAGGTGTCAGGAACCTCTGTGCTTCAAGTATACACTTTGACATGTTTTGACTATTTTTTGACTCTTTGATCCTAAAAGTTTATCATAGATCTAAATTCATCTATAAAAATTTAGCAAATTCAATGGATAAACTATGATAAACATTGATAAAGTCATAAATTCCACCACTTCCGCAGCTCTCGAAGGTGGGCACCTCATCAGCTGGCGCAACCATCAGTTTCCTCATCGTCTCTGTGCTGGCGCGGAAAACGGCTGGGAGATCACCGGTGGCGAGCCACCTGTAGCAGCTATAGCTCTTGGTGGTGGAAATGGCTCATAAATGGCTCATAAATGGCTGGATGTCGCCAGAAAAATTCGGGAATTTCCTTGAGATTTCTGTCCCTTTCTAAGATCTGGTAAGGATAATGTTCAGTAAGGCGTTTGGCTTTGACCGTGGCGTCCGAATGCGGAGACAAAAAACGGAGGCCGTGACGCTGGTGGCCGCCTTTTTGTGCATTCGTCCAGACTTGCCGGTGTCTCCACCGAAGAAGGAGAGGGAGACAGTCCAGGGATTGTGGTAGCAGATGTTCGGTGAATCTCCAAAGAAGAGCCATACAAATTGAAAGGGCCGGCTGGAGAGCCGGAATTCAGGTGTGGTAGCTATTTTCTGAAACGAATGTGCTAATACATTTATACCCAGTTTGTGCTGATAGTTGAAGACTCAAGAACAAGCATTTTGTTCTTCCAGACTGCCTGTAAGTTAGCTAGATTTTGCTGTGCAAAGATATTTGGTAGAGCGTTGATCACCTCGCTTTCCAAAGTTTTTTACCCTTAGGGCCTTAGGGATATTGAGTCTCTTGATGCCAGTGTGTAGAACATTTCTTCTGTGGTCTCACACCACCCCCCCAAAAAATGCTCGACGGAACCCACAGTAGGAATCCGATCAAGAGATGGCACAGCAATGCTTCACAGAATTGTCCACAAAAGCTGTTTTGTGCAATAAAATATAATAACATGTTACATCCGAGAAGGCATTTGACATGCATTTTGCAAGCGACTTGAAATGACAGTCAGCACAGATGACCTCCTGTGTCCAAGTCGCACTGCTAAAGGATCAAGATGATCAGGCAGCACTTGTCAGGAATGTCGCTCTTGAAATGTTGTTTATCATAGTAATCCACGTTTATCCTGATATATCCTGATTATTCCAAGTCCCACGCAGCTTCAGCAACGGCGAAAACACCAGGAGAATCCTCGTGACTCTCTGAGAAAGGAGATTCGGGTGGGCTGATAGATGAAGGTTGTATATATAGTGTGTATATATATATATTATATCCAATCGTAATTTCTCCAGTTAATTTATTCGGAACAAGTTCGATAAATTGCAAAATTGGCTTGTGAAGCTTGCGAAACCATTTATTGATTTTGATCTATTGCGATATTACTATAAGGATCTATAAGGCACTAAAAGGAATTGATCTTGATCTTTGCTGCGGGGGAAGTTGACCCTGCGGGATATATTCACCTGCCAAGATGATATTTAGCTATATACTTAGACAAGAAGCTACAGAATGGTACTATCTGAATGTGCTGAGATATCTTCCTCGCACCTTCGGTTTGATGTGCCCCAAAATCTGATGGTTTTCTCATCATTTTCTCATCATTTTGTTTCACCATGGTTTTTTATCCTGAGTCGCTGCAGGATCACCTGCAGTTGCCGGCGGATGCGCTTTCAAAACGAGGCGGGTTCTGCTAAACCACAAACGAATTTCGGCAGTGAACGAAACGGAGATGCAAAACCTCAGAAATGATAGCAACAATATGCAACAATGGCGGCCATAGTTTTCAATCATTGATCAAGTTCTCTGAAAGCCTCATTCCTCCAGGGCCTTGGAGAATCTGTGAGTAGCATAACAATCTTGTTGTGCTGAAGATGTGCGGAAGTCTGTGCACTGAGTTTCAATGTTTAATGAAAGTGTGTTCATAAGCCGAAGTGCAACATTTGTAGATCATATAGAATTAATATAATGTCATCATATGTCATCAATTAATATATAGATATATATATATATAATTATATATATACATATAGATGTAATTATAATATGAACTGTAATCAGATTACAAAAAGATACATTCCAAAAGTTACATCGAATCAACATCATGTGTGAACATCCTTCTTGTTGGGGCAGGCAGCATGGCCTTCACTGGCTCACCAGCAAAAGGTCGCAGATTTCGGTGGAGTTGATTTTCAGGATGGCTTTCTGACGAAGGAGTCGAAACTCCAAAATCACAGAGAAACATGTTCCCCATTGCAGCTATGAATTGACGAATCCCCATGTTAATCCATGTTAATGACATGAATCCCCCAGATTATTTGCTACATAAAACCACATTTCTGGACCTTGCTGAACTTCGATGATATCACAAATCGAGCTTTGGACCTGTGAAAAATTGCATTCACAGGGATTCCCAGCGAAACCCACACCTGGGATTTGCTCATGGAAACCCAAAAAAATGTCACGGACTATGGCTGATTCCAGGATTATCCCAAAAGTGATTTAAAGGACAATTTGAGGAACCTATAGGAACCTCCTTTATTTGGATGTAAAAGAACACGGTGCCACCAACAGATCTTCCCTGAAACCAGGCCGTAGCCCCATGCGCAGTCCTATTGCCGGACCTGCCAGCCCTAGTGAGGATGGGTGTGGAACCCCAAGATGTGATGATCTTGATGATTTAGCCTCGTTTTTAGGATGACATAAGGGTATATAACTTACATGACCCACTATGTTTCCACTATAGTTATTGTATAAATCAATATAAATCAGTCTAAAGTGGGCTCCACTCAAGCGGTTGCGCATGCAAATCCAAAGAGTTGAATCTATAGTTGCGGAGGTGTACTTCGCACATTAAACGTTTTCCAAATGCAAAAAAGCGCACACTTAGAACATCAGGGAAATCAAGATTGGGATGTTCTAAGTGTATCGCTTAGAACATCAAAATCAAGAATCCAACACTTGGAACATCAACACATTAAAACATGTGAGAGACGGGTGGAATAAGTGGTTTGATGTTCTAAATGTGTGTCCCCTTGAGGAAAAATGATTGTTTTTTTCTAATAGAATAAACACCCACCTGCACATACATCCCTCATGCACATTTTTCTCCTCAAATTGAAATGTATTCCAAGCTCTTCGACTCGTTGAGAAATATCCAAAGTAATTATTCCAAAGTTAAGATTTTGGAGGGGGCATGATTTTGATCTTATTTTTCACACTGGAATCATCATTGAAAGCATGGTCTGTCCCACACATTCTGTTCTACGCACATCAAAGCTTAAATAACTGGTTTGAAACATTCCTATAGCCACCTCCGTTTTTGACGGTATTGCAAAATTGCATTCTCCGTTACCTTTTAGTGGAGTGGTCATGCACTTAAATCATTGCCATGTGCACAACTAATGTTCTAAGTGTAATTGTTTTTTGGGATGTTCTAAGTGTCTTTTCCTGAACTCACACACTTAGAACTTTCCTGCAAATATATTGGAACTGTGTCTTCCAAGTGATGTTCTAAGTTCATGTCCTACACATTGGTCTGCTAGTACGTTGGGACATGTTGGAACAGTTTCTGAAACGAAACCACACCACGGTGATCGGCTAAGGTTGCAGCCCTTCTGTCCAGATCTCATTGTCCCAAGGGGCTGCAACTTGATAGAAAGTGCGTTGTTTGTGTGAAAATTGTGGACTGGCCCAAGAAAAATAAGTTGTGTTTATCAGATATTAGCTGGAGCTACATCATGTTGAGATACATAATTTGTATGTCCAAAAGATTGTTCGGCGGTTGTTGATCTTTTGGCTGTTGAGCTGGTGAGGCTGGTGAGCTTCATTTCTTTACATTTCTTTGCTTGGAACCAGCCACGCATTTGGTCAGAATTAGTTGGGGCAAAGCAAGTCCAAGCTCTCTTTTTGCTTACAAAGTTTCTGCCCACAAGAGTCAGCCAAAGGACTTAACTATAAATGCATGGAATTGAGAAAAAACAACTTTCACTCGGCAGCAAACATTAGGAATACTCACAACTCAAACTGGGGTTTGATGAAACAGTGTGCATCACTCAACCCAGTGCGCCTGAGGTGAGTGTGTCCTGCTGGTACCCATCGTGCCCTTGTGCTTGGGACCTTTTAGCGTCTCGGCCCGCACTGACAATAAATGATGAAAACCAAGGTGTCTTCAATGATATTGGACCACTCTGGACCAGGTGTTTCTGCAAAATTGGACGTATGAATGGTTCTGTAGGTAGTCCAACTTGTTTCTTACACTCTTCTATTAGTTTTCCGCAGAAGGCAAACTTAAGTTTACCAACCAAGAGTTGTTTGAGCCATTTTGAGCCTTCTGTCAATACTTGGGGGCCTGTTTCGTTGGTGCTCGCAGGTGTTTGTGACCCTAACGGCCATGTGGTGCTGCGGGTGTCACCAAAAAGCATGGCTCCGCCTCCATCCATTGATAGGCCGCCGCAATCTGACAGATCTTAGAACCTAAGCAGAAGCGTCAAGGGGAGTTGAGGTTCATTGATCTCTTCCAATTGGCGTGTCAGATACCTCAATATATATGATAGTATAATATAATATAATATAAATATAATATAATATAATATAATAATATAATATAATAATATAATATGATAATAATAATAATATATATATTATGTGATGATATATATATATGATTAATAATATATATATATATGAATATATATATATGAATATATATATATATATTCATATATATATATATGACAATATATATATATATGACAATATATATATATGATAATAAAAAAAATATAATATGTGATATGTACATACAATGTATGGATAATGGTGATCCGGACTGGATGCATGTCTACCTACGTTGCCATGTGATGTACTGCAATGCAATGGGATGGAATGGGTCATGTTTCCGATCATTCAGCAGACCGGCTGGCAGGGGAAGGGGTTCAGCTCGAAAATTCGTGAGCTTCGGACCTGATTCCTTGCAGCTTGGCCTTAAAATTCACTACTTGGTCAATGGATGGCTGCAGAGTTCTGGTGGGTATGTATATATGTATACATGGTTTCATATTATATATAGTTAATCACTGGTAACAAAAAACTTCAACAGAGTAAGATACAGGTGGATGTGAAATGCGGTTCGTTTGTTTCCCCCTAGCTTCGTACCGTTGGGAATTGCCTGTTGGCGAAGCCGGTGCTTTTTTGCGTTAGGTGCTGATTTGTACATGGGCCTGAAACCTATTTTTTCACATCTCACAATGTGCAATGACAGCAGTCTTAAAGTTTTGGGAGTCGCCCGTACCTCGCTTGGACCTCCCCCACTTGCAGGTATGTTTAGGCATGCCTTTTGCTTGCATTCTGCTTGCTTTCTGCCCGCTTTCTTTCTACTTTTCTTGCTTGCCTGCTTGCTTTTGCTGCGAGTGCTGCTGCCGGCTTGCTGTAGTATGGCATAGTATGGCATACCCGATTCTACTAGTGTAATTATGAAGTATGAAGTGCAGATGGGGGTGGCTGATTTGGAAACTAGTTGGTTGATTTGTTCACCTTAGTTTCTATTCGCCGCACTGGCACAAAGTGGTGTCATGCACAGATGAGCATCTCATGTGCACGGTTGAGCGTCTCTTAATATGCAGAGATGGGTGGAGTGCTTTCAATGTGCGCAGATAAACCGCTAGCCGTCATTGCATAGTAGGGGGAGCAAATTGCAGCAGAGAACACATAGCAAATGGTTGCGATTAAGATTGGGCCGAAGTCGCCAGACACGTGTTTTGAACCACCTACCCCTGAACTCAGTTCTCGTTTAACTGGCACCTTTGCAAAGTGCTGATTTCCAAGGCCTTTTCACAAAGTACTGGTACTTGCAAAACTGGTTGATTGATCATGCCTCCATTCCCTGTGCATCATTAGATGGCTCACGTGGGAAAGGCTCAAAATTCTCACTATTGATCACCTGGAAAATAATGGAAAATGACATTATTTAGGTCGACAAACACTTAGAACAAACATCATTTGGAAAACACTCCTCCGACATTTAACAGGGGTAGATGTATGTAGATGTTCTAAGTGTGAAGTCGAAAACCACACTTAGAACATCACAAAAAATCCACACTTAGAACATCAATGTGTAAACGGGTTATTTCAGCCTTTAAGCTTTGATATGCGTAGAACAGAATGTGTGGGACAAACCATATTTTCAGTGATGACTCCAGTGTCAAAAAAAAACAAAATCATTGCCGGAAAGACACTTGGAACATCAGACCACCTTTTCCCTTGTCAAAATGCATGTTTTATGTGTCCACTATACTAGAAGTAATGGAAAAAGGCGGGGTGAGTATAGGAATGTTTCAAACGAGTTATTTGAGCCTTTAAGCTTCGATGTGCGTAGAACAGAATGTGTGGGACAAACCGTATTTTCAGTGGTCAAAAGGCATATTTTATGTGTTTATATGTGTTGATGTTCTAAGGGAGGTGGTTTTTGATGTTCTAAGTGATACACTTAGAACACCCCTTTCTTGATTTGTGTGATCTTCTAAGTATGTGTGCTGGCGCATTTGGAAAACGTTTGATGTTCTAAGTGTGTGTCGACAATAATAATCACCATATCAAACCATGCATCCATGATCACTTTTTTTCGGAGCATCAGCGGTCGACCTCACTCTTCAATGAGAATCAGATGGTGTCAACAGAAAAAACGTGATAAGTGCGTGAAAAAACCGTGATTTTATTGTCACTTCCAAGCGCGTGAAAATAGCAAGATTTCCTCATGCAACTGGCAGCCTATCCGCTCATAGCTATGTAGTGCCGCACCCCTTTGCGGTAATAGAAAATGTGGTTGAAGAGTCCCTCGCGTAAAGCCCTCTGCTGAAGCGGAACATGAGGGTAATGGCAGGGTTCTTGCTACTTATCTGCAGAACTATGAGGTGATTTGGCTTAAAGTCAAGATGGCACTTTACAGTAACGCAGGCACTTTGTTCGAAAGTACTCGTTTCCCAGGCACTTTGGAAGGTCAGGGTACGTTCCACTTAGCAAAGGTGTCCAATTGAATAATGTTCACGCTTCTCTTTGACTCAGCGTTCAAGCGCTACCAATCGGTGTCAATTATCCATGCAGATTTAACATGTTTGGAGCCCCCAGTCCTGACTGCAACATCCATCTAGTACTCGTAAAAGTATATAGAGATAGTTAATTTTTTGTACAAGAAAAAGCTTGAACAATACGTGAGAAACGTAGATTTTCTACGGGGGATTGACATGAAACGACGGCGGTTCCAGGGGCAGCTCGTGGCGCATTGAATTGGCCACTGGCTCTGGGGATCTTCTGGCGCAGCATCCTGGCGGTACAAGGGATCCCAATGGTAATTAGTCATCCAAAATTCGGGTTTATGGGATGATTATACCCCTATAACTGGGATGATTAATACTAATTATCATAGTATATGGATCCCAATGGTAATCATCCAAGTTTATGGTTGAGTATATGAGTGTACCCCTATAACTGGGATGATTTGAAAGGACCAGTGGATGGTGAACGGAATGCCTCATTGGGCCTACCATACACGTGTCCACGGAAATCTGAGCTGCAGTGGGGATTCAAGAGACAACAGAAAGATATAGAGAGGATCATGCAACCATGAAGATTACGAAATATTACAAAGGGTGATGGGTGATGGTTGGTGTTTCAAACTCTATTCGTTTGAGATGAACGCTTTCAATGTCTTAAGTTTACAAACCTAGGATATCCTAGGATGGTCGCGGCCAACTGACTTGATCAATCCCTGCCTTTGATATTCTGGAGGATCTGAAGGTGGAAGCATCCTCAAACTATCTTCTTGGTTTATTTGAAAGCAGATGTAACGTGGATAGATTGAAACCCAAAGCCCAAGGCCCAATGATTCTCCTGTGTTCCTGTTGCCTCTTATAGCTTATTGCCACAACCCTAGCAGTTCCGAATCTCAAGAGCAATCTACCTGTGGCATATCCGCATATCTGTTTGGGACTGCACTTGGCACCCAGCTTTGAGAAATGTCAGACATGGTTCTGGCGGGTCACCAAAAATGTGAGAAGATTTGTGTTTGGATCTATTCAGTACCCTTTCAAAAGAACGATGATAACATGATCCGTGAAGTTTTGCCACATGGAATCCTATGGGTTTTTTGAAATACAGAAATCGTGCGAGTTGATTGTTGCATGTTTGGAGACCCCCCTGCCAAGGTCTAGCTTCTGTAAGCCTGGGCAGTGCAAAGCTGAGTGCTGGGAATTTGTTTTGTTTGCGGTGTTTGATTGATAGGGATACTAAGGGGATCTAAGGGGAATTTCTCATTTAGCTGAAACCTCCATCCTTCTGGATCGGTGGAATCCCCATCTCAAATGATGAAACTCCCAACCACGAGTAACCAGGAGATTCCAGGTGCAAGTGCCCTGGCCACTCCTCCTTTTGGCATGATCCATGTCTTTGGTCTCTGGTTTCGACTTGGAAGATGTCGAAGCAAGAAAGTGCTCCAAGAAGTCCCAAGGAGATGTTTGAAATCAAGAGGACCAACTACATATGGTGCTTTCCAAACATTAGACCATTTTGGTATTGAAATTGAAACCCATGTTTTTTGGGGTATTTTTAGGACACCATCATATTGCTTCAAGTTTCAGTCAGGAAGCTCGGCCCAGGAACGAGAGCTCCTCCCATCCCTCCTTCGCCCTCATGAGAGCTGACGGGGTCCGGCAGCCCAATAAGGAGGGCCTGAAGGAGAAGGGCACATCCGTTGAACGAGAGTCCACACATTCATAGGAAAACTAAACATGCATGTAGATATACCCATGAGCTCAATGAATGAACTATTTATATACCAACATTTACGAAAAACATGACGCAAATGATGTAGATAAATATACGTACTGTAACTAACTATACCCAGACATGGAGCACATATTATGTCGATTTCTGCTTTGGTATGGATTATCAGTATCAGACAACAATTATTGAATAGACATCCATGTGCATGTATTACAGCAATTTGTTGTAGTTCTACGGTATGCACAAAATCCATGATATCGGTATGGATGAGAAAGGCCACCTGAAGACGTGGCGACAAAGCATGCATATTCCTGGCCTGGCCTGTGGAGAACCCCAAAATTAAGAGCGCAATATATGTCATGTACTGTACCTATTTCTACCATGTCGGAGGCAGCAAAAATATACCATGGCCCCAGAAGCGGTTTGTCGTATATAGGGTTTACCACAATGCAGGTTGCAGATATGTTGTTTTGGGTTGTGCAGCAAGCATGTTTCTGCTTGGACAAATCTGGATTGCTGTCACTTCTACAAATGCCGGTAGTATGCATTACACACTGATAGACAGTCAGAATCTATCTTTGCATATCTTTGCAATAAGAAACCGACAGTTATAGTGGACCGAGCATGTTGTTGTTTTACTGCATCGAAGTCGAAATCTAGGGCACGATCTCATGACCCACTGCAGCGGATCATTGGCATTGGCAAAGGTATCATTTTGTTATTCCTCTTTGTCAACTCTCGAAAGATTGTAGAGGATTTTATATTGGATCTACGGCAAAAAACAAAGCTGGTGAAAATACTGGCTGACAAATCCCTTAAACCTCCACTGCCCATCACTGCCCCATGGTTCATCCATGGGTCATCCATGGATACCAAGGGCCATTTCGCGACACTTCTCCGAAACCAGCAGGAGGGGCTTTTCTGCATGACGTCGGGGCTTCATGAAACTAAGAGGATCCTATTTTTCAATATTTTTCAATGCCAGTGGCTCCACTTTATTTTTTTGTTTTGATTGGGTCCTTGCCCGTGCGCGTGCTGTTGCCCCAACAAAAAAAGGTTGGAATCACCATAGGCATCCGATCTATCCGGGCAGGAGGGTTACGAGCTGACGACCCCGGATCACATCATCTACTTTTGGGGCTCCTTTGACCACCACGCGGTGAATATCACCGATGAGGTCTGGCTCCGAAGCTTTCCTCACCATTGATGCCAAGCAGTTTCTGGTCTTTCGCCGCTCAATCTCCCAGAACTGCTCCTGTTACCAGCCCATCCATTGAGGATCCCATGAATATGGCTTAAGAATATGCAAGAAGGATTCTTCCTGAGCCCGGATGACCTTTGACTCCAAACATGCCACTCTTTTGGTGTTCATCTAGGCCAACTCACATTCAGCAGCGCTTTTTATTGCTTTGTCCAAGACGTATCTATCATGTCTAATGATGAGTGAAATAAATTGAATAATAATCCCTTCCCCGTACTACTAAACCCCGCGAATAATAAAAACTAGGTTCCATCTCCAATTTTGGAAAATTTCAGGTTGGCCAATTTGACTTTTAATTTATACCCTTTAGAAAATAACTTAAACATAAAGCTACTATTTGTATCTATTTGTGGGTTTCACTCCCTAATAATAAAAACTAGTCAACCCCATGGTGTTTTGTATTAGGATCTGTCCGATTTTTTTAGTTTTTTTATTAGTTGTTTAAATTTATTATTAGGGGTCGCTTCGAAATCCAAATTTTGGCAATATTTTAATTGCAAGAATAAAAGGAAATTTAATTGATTTTGAAATCGAAAAACATAGTCTTTTTCATTAATTGAGGGTTTTAATTTATTATTAGGGTCCGCTTTGGTTCCCTAATAATAAATACCCCTCTAATAATAAAAACTACCCAAAGTGTTTATTATTTGGGGATGGGGGTTAGTATTAGGGGGAGAGGATTACATGGGCAATATGCATATACATATATTATTGTATACATATGTAATATATCCCCCCCCTTTAACCCTGGAATATTTGGGGGGGGGTAAGGCAAGAAATTTCTGAGAAATATTTCACCTGACCACGTGAAATATACCCCCCCCCCCACGTATTTTTTTGGGCTTCTAAAAGACGTGGGGGGGGGGTTCCTCCGGATGCCACATTTTAGCCCAGAAACGGTATGACACACCATGACACACCCTTTTATTTTGAACATACGCGGGTAGGGCCCACGCGCAAACACTGACAACTAGGTAAATGGTAACTGCCGGTTTCCAAGAAAGTAAATAAGAGAGTGAACTTGCCAAACAGCCTTCAGAACATGACGTTCAGCCTTGAATTCAACCACGCCCGAAGCCATTATAGACCAGAATTTTTTAGCTGAAATATTTCACTTTAGGGAGGTGAAATATTTCAAGGTGTGTGGGGGGGGGAGACCCCCCCCTAAAGTGAAATATTTCAGTTTTTACCCCCCCCCCACCCCCCCCCCCTTAAAGGGGGGGGATTGTAATATAATATGCGTGTGCAGAGATTTGGAATCTCCGCACATTTTTTGATGTCTCCCAGATCCCGGCACAGGGTGGAAAGCTGCTGGCCACCACTGAACTTTGCAGAGCTGATTGGGATCAGACCGGAGAGTCCCGTGGACGACACGGCACGGGGATGGCTCTGGTGTCAGTCGGATAGCATAAAAGATTGCTATATGTACAGTACTCCATCCTATTTCCAGTTTGCAAAATCCATTTTCTATATGATATATATAGACTTATATTCAGAGATATTATAGAAATTTTACAATTATTATATATTATTATATATATATTATACATATGGCATTAGTGATCTATTTATTTGTGGGATCACTGCACGCTGATGTCCGTTGAGGTTCTATCGCCTACGCGTAGCGCCTCTGGTGGACGTGGGACTGTTACTCTGCAGCCTTGTTTGCATCGACCAGGCGCGGAGACTCGCTGTGGCAAACGGGTGCAAAATTCATCCATTTATGGTGCAAGATATGGATGAAATCAGTAAGAAATATATGGATGAAATCAGATGAATTCAGTAAGATGATGACGTACATTGAAATCAGATGAAATCAGATTTAGATGCGATTTATGGTTGAATGTTGAAATATTAATTGAATTCAGTCTATAATTCATAATCCTTCTGCACGTTTCTTCTTGAACGATTTGTTCATAGAGGGAGTTTTGGCTGATGCTCATAACAGGGAGCCTGGTGAGAACTAGCGAAAATTAAGCACTACTTGCACGAGTTGGAACCGACTGATTGTCACTTTTATTCAGCCGTTGATTTTGAACCGGTAATTAATAGCTGGAGATTGTATTGATCAAGGGCTGGATTTCCAGGCAACCCCCCGGTTGTCTGAAAAAGATCCCTTTGTTGATGTTTCCTGTAGATATTATCTTAAACAAACCCACTTGTCATCTCAATGAATTGCACATACAGTATCACTGTGATGGTTTCAAATGAGTGTATTATTCTGTATGCAAACATTGTAATACAGTATAACCAGTACTTTCAATGTATCGATGCACCGAATTAAACACTGTATCACCCCATTGTGTCAACATGTCAAAGCGCTGGACCAATCCATTGGTATTTGGATGAACTGTTCCATGATTTGTTCTTATTTACCCGATGATCCCCACCATGTTTGCCCCATGGTTTGTTTGATGATCCGAAATGATATTGTTACTCTACCACCAGGTGATGGCCATGAGCCGTCGGACCTGACGCCGGGCGAATTTCGCGGGCGAGTTTGTCATGGGTGCTGCACGTGGTGCCGTGCATAAAAATGCCATGAGGACAGTTTTCAGGTTTCCATACATGATACTGTACTTAGATATACTGCGATAATGGGTGATGCTTCATGATGTAATGTGGATATATATATATATACATACATATGATTATATTATACATATATATATATGTGCATATTATTATACTATATTATATATTATATATTATATTATATATTATATTATATATTATATTATATATTATATTATATATTATATTATATATTATATTATATATTATATTATATATATATATATTATATATTATATATTATATATTATATATTATTATATATATATTATTATTATATATTATATTATATATTATATTATATATTATATTATATATTATATATATATTATGTATTATGTATTATGTATTATATATTATATATTATATATTATATATTATATGCTATTATATATAATATAGTATATACTATTATATATAATATATTACATTAAATATATGTTATATATTATATATTATATATATACTATTATATATATTATGCATTATATTATATATATATATTATGTAATATATATTATATATTATATTATATATATATTATATTATTTATATATTATTATATATATATATTATTATATATTATTATATTTATTATATATTACATACATTATATATATTATATATTACATGCATTATATATATTATATATTACATACATTATATATTATATATATTATTATATTATTATATATAATATTATATATATATATACATGTAAGTGGTTTGATCCATTTTGATCCCTATTGTCGGGCTTCTGGGGGGCCGGTGACCATATGTATATACATGGGGACATGGGATGTATCGAACTAGCAATATGATATGATGTTTGGATGTGTCTGAAAATTGAGGACACCTCGGATACCCCTGAATATGGCTATATTGTCGGTGAAAGTGAAGGTTCATGACATGAGTAAAATGTAAGGTATAAACAGGGGTACCCTATTTTCAGACATGTCCAGCGAATGAGAACAGCCCAAAATCAAGAAATGCACATTGAATCGAAAAATATTCAGACCACAAATCTCTACAGGTTCTGACTTGAATCACTTGCTGGCCTATGGTTTGGCGCCAATGAGATCCCTTGGGATGGACAATGATGGACACATTGGTGCCCAAAGCATTCCAGAAATCCAGGTTGAATTTGTAAAATATCAGTGTTCCTTGGAAAGGAACAGTTTCAAATTGCTCTAAGATGGTGATTCTTCCCCAAGAGTTTTCACGTGCCTTCACCTAGTCTTGCGACTTGTCCACCCCAGAGGGTTGCGAAGCAAAAATGAGCTGCCAGCCCAGAGTGGTTGTGCAGTCACGGTTGCCCCTCCACTTGAATTTGGCTGGACATGTTTTCTCTTGGCCGAAACAGATTTATTTGATTAGACCCCGGATCCTCTTGATCTGGATAGTCTCCAGATGTCACTTGACCCTAGTCTCCACTTCCTTCTTGACTCTCCTTGAATCAGTTGTTCACCACTTAGGACAATTCCATTCTTCAACAGAAGTGATTACCGAGGGGCGATGTAAAACATGTACTTGCTCAGCTGCATTGGCTTGCTGTGTCCCCGGGTAAGTTGACTTGAGTGAATTGATGCGTCTGGGAACGCGACACATTGTGTGTTCACAATCTAACAGACAGAACAATCATGTGCTTTTCCTTGAAATGAGAATCGGGCATTATTGACGGTGCGTTTTTTGATGGTGTTTGCAAATGTAGCCTGGCACAAACTGCACACTCTGAAAAAACACTAACATAGACCCACAGATAGGGTACACAATCATTTTTGTGGTCGGTTGCAACGTGGCGCACCTTGAAAACAACCATTAACATAGACTATACATAGACTATCATAGACTATAGGGACAGGTTCCAGATTATGTGTTAGCTGGAAATATCAGAAGAATCCCACTGCCATCGAAAGTCTATGTTAGTACATGAAGCACACCCCACTACATACATGTTTTGGCAAAGGGAGCTTGTCCGGCATAAGCAGTAGTGAGCTTGGTGCGGAATTTGAACATTTTGACATGCTCGCAGAGTTTCATCATTATTGACATGCTTCAATATCAAGAAAACCTTGTACATCCTACAAACACACCCTAACAGTTTATATGAGAACTGCCATTAGCCTCCTGGCAGGCTGCGGTTGTACTAATGAAACATGTGATAGTTCCCGAGATCGTGTCCGTTTTGAGTTCACCTCTTGTGCTTGGACAATTGTTTTTGGGTGAATGCAATGGATTCCATCCACGATATCAGTGCTGACTTGAAAGATTTTGTTGAGTCAGAACAAGATTTTTAGTTGACAGCATGATATTTCTCATGCCAACGTGTTCAATTTGCGCCTTGAACCCCTGGCATTACAGCAACTGGTAGTGCTTGGAGCGTGCAGTGGATTCATAAAGAGCACTTGCAGGGCATTGATTCAGACAATGAGGGCTCTACAATATTTGCGACCCGCAATATGAATGAAATTTACAGAACCCAGAAATCACAGTCTTCCAGCTGCACGCGCCAACCCCAACTTACAAAGAAGCTGGGTTGGAACGGCTTCCAAGCCAAGTGCCATGGGAAATCGCAGTGGTGTTCCTCCATGCTACGCGCATCAAAGTTGTGTAACGACCAAAAGATTCACTGGAGCCCTTGGGAGTTCTCCAGTTCGGCGACATGGGAATCCATGTCGAGGGACACTCTTTGGGGGAGCCAAGCAGTAGGGGATGAGGCGTTAAAGTGATAATACCATCTGATACCATCACCATTTGTATATGGTTTATCGCCAGTTTATCGCAAGATCAGGAACCATAGTCATGGTTTGTACACCTGTGCCAGACTCAATAATCTCAACATAGAGGTTGTTTCATGTTGTTTCTCAGCACAGCACATTGACCACCTATTCCTTGGAAAACAAATGTGTACACCACTGCCTTCAGTTGCATGAAGGTCTCGTGAGATACCTTGAGTCCTTTGGAAAAAAGCTTATAACTCTGTGAAACTGCTCGTTGCAGGGCACCCCGTCTAACCCCCAAAGTCTATTCTGATACTTTTCCATTTGGGCATGATCAAAGTTGGAGATCTCAAACCCAAATTTGTTCTGAAAATGAGCCACTTTGGTGACCTGGTGGATTATGTTTGGTGTGAACGTTTATGAGCTGCCCAATTCATCCAGATTTTTCCTTGATGATATCAATGATATCGGTCTACCCATTGCTGATATTTTCCCTCACACCGTTTAGTACGTTGTAGAATGTGCAAAGCACAATGTACAATACAACTGTATATTCATGATTAAATGTAGTATCATGCAATATCTATATATATGTACATATATAGTTATATAATATAATGTTCAATATAATAATGTGCAATGTATCTGTGACATCCCACTATAATGTGTAATTAATGTATCGGGATTTCAGGACGCCAAGATGTACTCCAATCGTGCAGCTGCCCTCACCAAGCTCCTGGCGTGCCCCTTTGTGTCCCTGGTGGCCTTGGTCTCCATGGTTTTGTTGATGTCCTGGATAGAAGTACAATAATGTATACCAATATTATGGTGACAATGATAATTATGTATACAATAATCATGGATTATCATGGTAATAATAATTATCAGAATACAATATTCCTATGATATTATTACCATGATAATACTATGATATTACGATGATATTATTATGATACAGTACAATACTGTACCATGTACTATTGATATAGTTCTAGTGGTATTGATTTACTATGGTGACATATGATATGGCAGAACACAGTACATAATTGCGGGACATGGCATCGGGCCATTTGTTTCAGCATTGCCTATTTGTTGACCCTTACAGAATGGTGAGTGGCCCAGGTACCCAGATGCTCTGAGAGACCTGGATGAGTGCTTGAAACTGGACCTGCTGGGGGGCACTCATCACTGGAAAAAATCATAATGCAGACCAGGTATGTGGAGTTCAGACAATGGTACATGGAGATCATAGTACAATGCAGACCATTCAAGGGATCCAACCTCAACTTGTAGTGTAATGACATTCTGACTACTTTGCGATGACCAGGATCCCACCTTTGTGAAGGCCTACTCTCGCAAGGGAGCGGCGTCACTCGTTTCTCAGGGTACCAGCGGGGTATCACCGATGGGGCGGATGGACTACTGTGCCATGAGGTATAATTTTTATGGATTTTTACTTTTTCCTGCATACCTATCAGAAATATAATTGATACAATTACTTCAACATACTTTAACCTATTTGTTATCCTGCCTTTGGGGTTGTATGAAACGGTCAAATACCTGCTTTCAATGGACAAATCGTACCTACAACACTTGGATATGTGAAGGAATAGAAAGCCGTGACGACGACTTCCAAATTGCTCTTTTGCTGTGTGAGTGTGGGTGATGTGCGCATTTGCTGACCGCCATTACCCTCATTGTTCATACCGAGGCATTTCTTCATGAAGGAATACCACAAGTCATTGCAGGCCTATGAGCAAGGCGCGGAGCATGGGACCGAAAGTTCTGGGCATTTTCTGTCAGTAAACCATGCCTATTTGTGCCTGTTTTGGGCACAGGCTTCTGACCCATATCCTGACATCACTGCTGTGACTACAACACTAAACAGATTTATGTTTGACGACACATCAAGTGCATTACCACGTCAAGTTCGTGCTTGCGTTTGGCAATCTTGACAACCGCCTAGGTTTGAAGCTTGATCCCGAGAATCAGGACAGTGGCTTAAGAACGAAGGTAGATTCACCCTTTGTGACATTGTAGGAGGATATACAGTTTAGCCATGTTATGCCATGTTTCAAGAGAGGAGGACTCAGAACTATCTCGATTATGAAGGCTTGCCGGTAGCCACTTTTGATCTCATTTTATAGATGGAACGCAGTGGCACCCGGGGTCACCCGGGGTCGTTTTTGGGCCCCTGGGTTAGCGTAGCGTTCCAGGAGTGCAAGCAAGGCCGAGATCAAGTCCTCGCGAAGATCAGCGAGACCTCCAGGTCCAGTGAGGCGGGGACGTTGAACATCTGGACATCACTATAACTACTGCTAAATGCTACACAAACAGCTAACAGATTAATGATATTTAATGAAATTTGATGATATTTACTGAAATTTACATATTTACCGAACTGAATATGTTTAAATTGCCGAACAGGTTTGCACAAATCAGTTTGTTTGACCCAAGTGGGTACCCTTTCGGGTGCGGCCAGTGAAGCAAGAGTCCTTTGCTGGATCAAGTGTCTTTCTGTTGATTTGTTGATTTGAGTCATGAACATGAAAATCAACAACTCTTTGAGCTTCAGTGATTATCCTAGAATAAATTTGGAAGAAAAGCGTCTGAGTTCTTGCAACTCAAGTTAATATATCAAGAAGAAGCTTGACGGGAATCTTCGAGAGCTGCTCAGGAAATCAGCAAATCCACTTGTCTGCGTCTGCAGCCGTTTGGCCCGCTGAAATCACGATTGTGTTCATTTGCTTGATGAGTTTGTGGTCACTTGGCTGAAACCTTGCTCCACATAAGGTCTATGTACTCGTACTCAATTGATGTTTTGGTATCTTTATCAGCCTGCTGAATCTACAATTCGGACTCACAAGAGGCAATGCGGACTGCAAAGCTATGCCCTGTTTGTTAAGCTTCCTGAAGGTTCATCTTTTCACAAGAGTTCCGATTGACGCAAAACCTCACCCTAGCCTTAGCCTGAATACTCAATCTAGAAAAGTTATATAATCAGCAGAGGTATTGAGTCACTGTGTGACACCTGTGTGACACCTGGGCCCCGCGTCTCAGTCTGCTTTGTTTCTTCACTCATGCGTCGAACAAGTCCATTGTTGCCATGGCTTGCAGCCATTGTGGCTGCCACCGCTTCTCTGCGAGCCTTTTTGCTTCCATCTGTGGCAACCGAGGTCAGGGTCTGCTGATGTCCCACCAGGGGTTGCTGCAAAAACTCCGTTTGGGATTCCAGACTCTGAATTCCTCTCGCTTTCGGTTTGGAGGCTAGAAATACCCAGTCACTGTCATTGAATATCATGAGTACTCTCCAGTACACGAAAAAATCGATGTACCGATTCTCTAGAGTTTTGGTACAGGCTGCATTCTAGCTGTGCCACTACTTAGTACTTCAGCCATGATTGTGCAGCTCATGAGTGACCTTTACATTTACTGTATTCTTCATGCGGGTGGTTCCAAGAATAATAATCCGAGCAAGCCCCCCCAAACAAAAACTACCCAAAGTTGTCTACATATTATATATCATCATATATCTATTGCAATCATCATTATTTGTTTATTACTATGACTATCTATGACTATTATTATTGTCATTACTACTATAAGAATAATCTACTACTACTGCTGCTGCTGCTGCTGCTACTGCTACTACTACTACTGCTACTGCTACTCCTACTACTACTACTACTACTACTACTACTACTACTACGATGATTATCCAGTTTTCATATCATATTATTCAAATATATTCAAATATTATTATCGGTATTAACATGTATTATCAATATGTTTCTCATCATTGCCAATACAGATAATACAGTTTGTTGTTGTTGTTGTTGTTGGTGGTGGTGGTGGTGTAGTGGTGGTGGTGGTGGTGGTGGTGGTATCCCCTCGGAAAAAGCCACCAGGAATGGCGCAAGGGTCCCGGCGTCTCAGCAGATCAGCGCTGGAACTTTTGGCCCGCCTTGCCCATCGCACCCTACGAGCGCCGCCTCACCAAACGCTACGAAGTGGTACCAGGCGGGGTGTTTTTGGATGAAGAAATGCCATGAAATGCCCCCATTTTTGTGGCACGGCACAATGATTTTCTGAGGTTTTAAAACACCATGACACTTTAAGGCACGTTGATTATAATCGTTAATTTCTTATTTTAGTTTTAGAATCTCACGAAGGACTGCGACACAATGATTCTATTATGTATAGAATAATGATGTGTCTAACAAGGAAAAAATGGCCTGGGCTTGAGCATCCACATGTACTGAAAGGATGGTCATTTGTTTAAGACAATGCAGTCAGACTGCCTCAGGTTCCAGAGTGTCTCAACTTCGTCAGTTTTATGTTGATGTTCTGTTCCTAAAATACCAGCATCCAGACGTCGACTGTAGATCCCCTTGGTTCCCTTGGTTTATGGTTTCTCTTACCAAGAGGACAAGGTGCCGGGTTTACGTCGCCAGGTGAGCTGTGGACCTTCGAGCAAAAGCAAGGCATTCTATACATCCACGTGCCGATTCGCATGACCGTCTATCGGATGACCACCCAGCGGGGCCTTTTCGTGTACGCGCCAGTTGCCCCGACACCCGAATGTCTTCGTCTTCTTCGAGAATTGGAAGAGGAACATGGGGAAGTCCTTCACATTGTTCTCCCGACCGTGGCAGTGGAGCATAAGCACTATGGCAGCAATTATTTTTTGAGGGGTTTCTTTGCGTGCAATAGAAAGTGTTCCAAATTGTCCTTGGTTTCAGAGCGTTGAGACAAGGGGAAGATTTATATGAAATACATATATGAAATCAACGGTAAACACCAGGGCTTTCTGTAAATTGTCCCTGAAACCGACCCAATGATAGGTACTTCGTGGGGCCTTTCTCGCAGAATTTTCCCAAGGCCCAGGCGGACCGGCTTAGGGATGAAGTCGGGTAGCCCGTTTCAGTCGATTTTCAGCTGCTAATCTGTTCGAATCCTCCGCCAGGTTTGGGTATGCCCTGGCCAATTTTCGGTGCCTTTGCAGCTCCCCTTGCAGCTTTTGGGCTTCCCTGGCAATGTTTTTTGGCAGGAGATGGAGCGAGTGCCGAAGTTTGATCCAAGCTGTGGTAAATGATTAAAGGTGATATATATTATTATTTGAATATTTTGGATGTATTTGGATCATCAATTTGATGCCATTCTCATCATTTTGAGAAGATGAGGCCAAATGACGAAGATGTTGTTGTTTGGTTGAAATGACAATGCAAATTGGGATGTTTGCATGACAAGTGGATATTGACATGTGTATCTACGTATTTTTTTTGAAAATATGCACTCTTGATAGGTTATTCAGTTTTAGGATTCCTCACTCAATGTCTACAAGGTTCTTTCGCAGATGGTGCAATTGCCAGGTAGGATATGTAGAATTGCAATGAATTGGATACCCATGACTTCATGACTTCCAATAGTGTGGTATCATGTCATTAGATCTTCAATTTAATTATATGCTGTATAATGTATATTATATATATATATATTATAAATCAATTTACTGCAATTATATATATATACACATATTTATCAATTTCTGGTTGGTACATTTCCAAACGCCCAACGTCCTGCAGAACTGAGGTGAAGACGCTCAGTTCTGATAGTTGGACCCTTGGGGTTTGGGGTTGCAGCCACTGCAAGGGACTGGTTGGTGGATATTGGACCAATTGATGTGGCTCTGTCCAAGTTGTCCAAGGATGTGGAAGTTATCCCCCATGTATTCATATAGTATATATATATACCCTCTGGTAATTTAACGTAGCTATTGAAAATGGCCATTGATAGTGGATTTTCCCATTAAAAATGGTGATTTTCCATAGCTATGTTAATTTACCAGAGGGTATATACATACAAACTTTCATGGTGAACATATTAATTACTATATATTGGGCTTTGCATTAGTTTTCAGCTCCCTCACTAGGAAAATTCATCCATAAATATCCATAATCATGTGCACATGTCTCCACTCCTTCAAAAGGTGAGCAAAACACCATACTTTCGATGCGGGAAGTCGTCCCTTGTATCTATGCGGTTGCTAAGGCCTTCCAAAGGAATGGCAAGATGAAGGGACCGGACGACTCAGCTTTTTGGGGCCTGAAACAAATGGCATCCGACGTCGGAATAGTTTAGCCAATTGCTGTAAAGGGTACACTTGGAGATATCATGATATGTAGAATATATAGATATATATATAATCATTATTATCATTATCATTATTATTATTATATTATATATATATTTGGATCTGCAACCTTGTCAACCAACCTTTATAGCTCCTGGGGTTGGAGCGTGACTCGCAGAGCATGAAAGGATACTGGGAATCTGCTAGGGCCTGGCAATCCTGTTTGGATTCCCGAGATGTTCCCACTCTGCAACATGTATGCGGTCATTACAGACTCTACAACTTCAGTGTATGGCGCCAAAGTGATGTCCTAATCTCGAAGGGGCCGATGCATCTCCTGATCCAAAGCACAAGTCCTCCCTGATGGATTCTCCGTGTGCCATCCAGCAACTCTGCTGAGGCTCGACTTTCGCGTGCTGGGTCCAGTTGGCAAAGATTTAAGCAACGGGCCTTTTGCAGAAGTGGACTGAGACTCAGCAAATTCTGATAATTCATCCAATTTCTGGTTGGTCAGATTCAGCTGGAGATACATTGATATCTGTACCATGGTGTTTCTGATCCGAGCATGTCATGTCATCACAATTGAGGGCAAGCTCGGTCCAAATATATTAACATATCCATACATATCCCATGATATACCTGACGCTGCCAATACACTCATCTATAAAGTATATATCGGTGCTCTAGTAGACGGCACAAGAAGAAAATGAGCAGCGACCACAATGGTATATTATAATCTTCAACCGAGAAAAACCTCAGATTTTTTGATTAATCTTCGCACGGAGAAAGAAGAGCTCAGACATCCATTGAATAGAAGAATATTGACGAACTCATCGAACTCATCACTAGAAAGACAGACAAGGATAAAAGAAAGCCCAAATTCCAATACTTGATGGAACAGTATGAAGACAAAAGCCACTGAATGAGAGAATGAAAGTATAGCTGAAAACCCCAAACAGGTGGAATTTGGAAAAATACAAGACACGTTTCTTGGCCTTGGCAGTCATGGTTTTCATTACCACTGAGAAGACGGTGTCGTCATTTCATGCAAATCAGGATAAACGATACTCAAAGAAGACCGTGAATTACCCCAATGCACAGAGTGCAAAGTTGTCATTTATATCTACGTTATATATGTATATCTACGTTATATATTTATATCTACGTTATATATATACATAAATATATATATAAATATATATATATAAGTGTATATATATATATGTATATGTGTATATACATATATATATATACATATGCATATACTGAACATATAGGGGTTGAACATGAGAAAAGGCTTATTAAGAGTCATGCATAAACACAACAAAGTGTTCAACTAATCTGTTGATGAAAAACATGTATATAACTGTATATATATATACATATATATACATATATGTACATAATATTATGGTCAAATGAAAGAACATGTGTATGATTACAATATTGATATTGAACATACTGTATTTGTTGAGTCACTATACATCCAATCATACCGTCTCAAATAATTTCTCCATCCCCCGAGTTTAGAGATTAAATGATATGATTTGATGATCTATTTTTGAGTGAGGTAATGTAATATTAAAAAGACGCGTCTTAGATTAAGGATTAAAATCGTTGATTTAGCTTATGAGTGTGTGGGGGTCAGGTATGTCTGAACATGTTGCATGGAACGTGCCCTTCCACTAATGTCACACCAAGGCCTTCTACATTCGTCGGCCTGCGCCCCAGCATTCCAACTCTGGGGATTTCGTATGATTTGGGATCTTTGGCCCAGGAATGATGAATACACTTTAATAGACGATTTAGGATGCTATGTCCCCCTGACTTTTCTTGTTTGGTCGGGGGGATTTGTTGAAACATGGATAAGCATGGCTTCTATCATCTTACATCTATAGAATCTCCAATTGCACCGCACGTGCAATCACCAACCATTTTTCCCAGAAATCAATAGAAATCAGGGATTTGATACGCTTTGTTTTTTGCCGTTTGTTTGCAATTTGTGTTTGTGTTGCGCTGGTCTTGCTGGTTTGGATCTCGGAAAAAAAAAACCTCTCCATGTCTCTCCAACTGTAGGCTCCGAACCATGCTTGTGACCGACCTGGTGGTCTCTGTGCCAGACCAAGCTCCTGAAATCGTGGCTGAGGCTGGGTAGTCCCCAGCTGGTAATGGAGAATAATAGAGACAATGAAATACTTGAGGAATCTTGAGGATTTAGTGGCCAATGTGCGAACAAGTGTGCGAACAAGTGTGCGAACAAGTGCCTGACAGCAGGAGCCACGAGCTCTTGCCTTCCATGCTCGGGATGATGCCTTATCACCTCTTGAGACTACACCAGAGGCATTGCTTAGGGGTTGGCGTGTGAGAACCCAGGCGGCGCGGGTGACGGGCATGCCGGGGATTCGGACCCCCCACATTTCCAAAATTTCTTTGACTATCGATTTAGTAAGACAAAGCCCTTAGAAACTACTCCCAGTGAAGCCCAATCAGACAGCGCCCTGCATAGCAACTGCAAGCTTGAGGAGAAGATGGTCCATGGAGGAATATATAATGAGGTGAAACATGCATGAAGGAATTGCCTTGCTTTTACTAATATGTGGAACACTTATTGTTTTCCGGCAAGTTCTGGGCTTCCAGGGGTCAGATGAAGTTCAAATGTTATTTCCCCATGAATCAAAGTTGCGAAGCAACAAACAGATGGTGCAGCTATAATTAAAAACTATTAATGCTGCTAAACTTGATGAACTATGATTTTGAAACATTCATTACATTATATTAATTGATACTAATTGATACTAGTTGATACTAGTTGATATTAAATGATAAATGATATTAAGTGATATTAAATGGACCGAAAGACGTATGCTGACTTGCCGCTGACGTGCCAACCCCGGTCCAAGGTCGGATGGCCTTGTTCGCCCTGTTTTTCCAATCTTCTGCCATTGATCCTGAGCCTGTGCCACTTGTCACCACTTGTCATCTGGCAAGCCGCTACGGATAGTTGCGAAGGTGTTCACAAAGGTACCAATGCGAACATCCCTACGTATAGATATGATATGTATCGTCTAGTACATGTATAATTATATATATATGTGTTATTATATATGATGTATTGTAACATGTTGAGAAGAGCATCCCCAATGTGGATGAGTTCTCTTATGATGTTCTCTGGGTTGGATACTTAAAATCATGGCTCTGGACATCCAAAGCTTAGCAAGGTCAGCCCAGTGCCCAATAGCTGGTTTGTACACATGGGAAAAACTCCATTTGTGACTAATGACTTAAAGTTATCATATGATTTATCAAATAAAGTTATCCACATAAACCCACCATGTGTTTTTTTTTCAATTTTGGAGCGTCCAATCTTTAGAGCGGACACCAGGTCCAAAGCAGTGGGTGATGCCTGGAACTCCGAAGCCAAGGATTTGGGTCTGGGGCCTCGGGGTGTCGAGGAATTGGGAGGGGAATTCTCCACGGGTCATGGGTGTGTGCCTTAAAAACATGACCAAAAGATGATGCGAATTGATGATAACTGATTCTATACTGATTCTTGACTTGACTGCTTTCCCAATCAGTATTGCTTGGCTTCTGCGGGTTCCCTCTACCGAAATGTTGACAGATGGCTTTGGCGGGCCATTTTTGGACACCGGCGACAGGTGTTGCAGGATAGCAGGATACAGCGCACGCCAGGGTGTCAATTTCCGTGGCTAAGTTATTGAAGCTGGCATGGAGTGTCGTTATCCATTGTTATCCTACGTTATCCTCACAGATTGAATGGTAGGCCTTCAATGCTTGAGAAATAATTACATTGCTCTGTAGATCGGTTCGTCAGTTGCCAATATATAATTTCTTTGCTCTGCAATGGCTTAATCAACTTTGAAGAAGTGCGTGTAGCTCCTTGGTTATTCACAGCTGAATGATATCCATCACCCACCCTGGTCCGTAAGAATCAATGAAGCATGAATGGTCTTACTCGCAAAAAGAAACTGAAAGGATTGATTGAGGCCAATGGCCCAATTTGTATGAAGGGGTAATGAATTCTATATACCTTGGAAAACATTACCCAGATTCCAACCTGGCAATGGAAACTTCCTGAAACTTCGCCATGAAGCCATGTTCAAATGTCCAAACTTCCAGATGGTGATTTCCCATGACCAAAGGTGTAGCTTCTGGGGACGATACATCGGATTGAAGTGTATTGAATACATATACATACATCACTATTATACATATACAGACTTAATACACGTGTATATACAATATAAATATAATATATATATATATAGTATACATACATATACATTACATATAATTAGCACATTATTACATATCCATCACTGTATCATTACGTCCTCATCTATCATGGTTCCATGGCTCGAGGCTGGGGTGGGCTCCTCCCATGGCGTTTCCGCAGCGACTGGAAGAAGTCCTTCGATGCCTTGAGAGGTGCTTAAATAATTCCAGTTGGGTATAACTATGGTCATGAAATATTCATGAAATAATATTGAATATACAAAGTTAATATATTTTGGGTATCGGTATAGTTAAAAAAAAACACAAGATCCGTAAGTTCTGCCAATTGGGTTTATTACTGGAAGAATAGTAACTATGGCAAGCTCCATAAGTTGGGGATATACTCCCGTATGACTATGGCTAGGTACCCATTTATAACCTCAACTGCACCCACAAGTGGGGTAAACTGCTCCCATAAGAATTATGTATAATTCATAGGAAGATAATTTAGGGTTAATGGGAAGAAAACCTGATATTATGGATAAGTAATGACGATCTGCTGAATAATAAGAAACCCCAATAGTATGGGAAGATTATGGGAATGGGGGTCACTATCTATAAATTGCATGAATGGATGTGGAAAACCAATGGTTTCCGGTTCGGAAAATGGTCTACAAATAGTGGATTCTCCAAATCTATCTTAGTTTACAGGAGGGGTACCCTGCAGCAAACAAATGTATACATGTGTTTTCCCATGAAAAATGATATACACTTCGTTGATTTTCCACATCATGAGGATGATGCATAACACGAGCATGGATCTCAATGTAAGACAATATCTATTGGAGAAATAAAGATGTACCAGGGGATAAATGATGATGATGATGATGACGATGATGACGATGATGACGATGATGATGATGGTCATGGAAATAATCTTGCAGTCACGGTCATGGTGATGCGGGAGATGAAGATGGTGGTGGTGGTGGTGATGGTGATGATGATGATGATCATTATTGATCATGATGATGCTGATGATGATGATGATGATGATGATGATGATGCTGATGATAATGATCATTATTGATCATGATGATGCTGATGATGATGCTGCTGATGATGATGATGATGATTGTGAAGACACTGAGATAGAGTCGATCACTGAATCTGGGTAGACGGTTTCGAGTGGGTATCTTGGAAGGAGCACCCCCACAATGCAGTTCATTTTTCACGATCGATCCAGAAGGATTCCAGAACCAACAAGTGATGAGACCGGACGCTCCTTTGACTCATGGATGACTAAACCAGTAATCTGGCCTACCTCCACCTCGGACTCACAGGTGGCGGCTTGTTCGTTGCACCCATCCTATCCGAGTTGATCCTCAATCGATACTTAACGTCGGATGTTGTGACCCCAGCCATGCGGGGCAAAGTGCCAGGGGAAGACGCCATGGGATCTATAATTCTTTGAGAAGTGGCCTGAACTAGTTGGTTCAGAGAGGTCTTTGGGGAAGGCAAATGACTTTTGCGGAGAAGCGATGATTGCTTTTGATTGGCTTAAGATCATGCACAATCCTTCAGAGTCTTACTGTCACAGCAATGTATTGAAAAACCTAGGGCCCAGTTCGGGAATGCAGTTGCGTCATGCGGCCGCTTCCTTTTCAAAACTACATTGTTCAGCCATTCATCTTGGGCACGTTTGCTAAAGATACATCATAGGCTTGATATAATCATACTGGATGGGGAGCTCAAGAGTCCCAGACTCTTCGGTTCTGATGGGTAAATATACGTTCCCAAGGCTGGAAAGTGGGGTTAGCAGCCTTCTAGCCGTAGCCATTTTGGATGACCCATCGCTTAAAAAATTATTCTAGGGTATCAACTAGGTTATGGAACATTTTTTTGGAATAATTTTCAAGAAATAATTTCTTCAAGGGGTAGGTATACGATGATGCATGTCGGAACCTTGAAAATCATGATCGCCCCCCCGTCAAGATACCCCGGAATAATTATGTTTTGGAATAATTTTCTTTAACTTAAAAGCATCTTAAAACATCTCGAAGCAGCCTATAATGTTCCTACATTTGGCCTGGCCCTTCCAAAAGCCATTCCTAGCTTGGCGGTGTTTGCCTGAAAGCTTTTTGCTGGAAATGCCAATTGCAGTTGTTTACATCATGCAGTTTGGGCAATTGCTGCAAACCTTTTTTTGCAGCGTACTTTTAAGCGCAACTAGTAACTAGTATCCAACGGACCACCTTTCTCTCACGGTACTTTCTCTCGAGAGTTCTTTGGATGGCAATGAATAGGGAATGTTAGGAAAATGCCTAGGAAAAGGCCAGGTTCCCCAGGGGAGAAATTATTCTAGGGGTATTGGAGATGCCTTGTACCCCTCAAAAACCAAAGTGGGCAGCTAATCACCAAATTAGCCCAGAAACTGGCAAGAATTGCCAAAAAACAAATGAAACCCAAACATTTCCCATCCATTCCCATTATGGCCAACGGGAGTTTTTTGAAAGGAAATGAACGGAATATGGAAGAAATAGGGGGGTGTACGCAAAGTTATGAAAATGCCTAGGAAAAGGCCAGGTTGAGTGACATTTTGCTGGCTTCCCCCAGGGGAGAAATTATTCTAGGGGTATTGGAGATGCCTGGTACCCCTCAAAAACCAAAGTGGGATAAAGTGGGCAGCTAATCACCAAATTAGCCCAGAAATTGGCAAGAATTGTCAAAAAAACAAATGAAACTCAAACATTTCCCACTCATTCCCACTATGGCCAACGGGAGCTTTTTGGAATGAAATGAACGGAATATGGAAGAAATGGGGGGGCGTACGCAAAGTCGGGAAAACTTCTAGGAGAGAGCCAGGTTGGGTGCCATTTTGTGGGCTTTCCCCAGGGGAAAAAATATTCTATTGGAGATGCCTGGCACCCCTCCAAAGCAAAAGTGGGCAGCTGCTACAACCACAAAACAAACCCAGAAATTTGCAAAAAAACAAACCAGTGACAACCAAATATTTTCCTTTTCCCACTCATTCCCACTAAGGCCACAACCACCAAACTAGCCCAGAAACTGGAAAAACATCCAAAACCAATCAAAACCATGTTCAACCAGTGGGTTGCTGAGGGGACATTTGTTTCAAGATATTAATTATTCTGACTCTTCTTGATCCTATCTGATTATGTTTTTTTTTTAATTGTGCCCCAGCTTTGCAAGAAGGGAAACCTTTTTCGGCCGTTTGCGCGCAGCTGCTTACGATTACTTGCGTTTGGCTAGAAATAGACTATACCGGTATCATTTTGATGGAAATTATTCCAAATTTCCATATATCTCAGTGAGTTCTTGGAATAATTTTTTTTTTGAACTCAAGGTATGCCGGAATAATACTTTATTATTCTGGGGTATGTTGACGGGGGTATCCCCTTAAGGCATCCGTCATCATTTTGGCATAAAGCGGTGCGAAACTCACGGGCCGTTGGCGAGCAGTTCAGATGTCCTGCTTTGCTGGATTAGTTTCCTCTCCCTCACCCACCGGCTACCAAGATCGCGGCAAGGGACGCGGACGTGTCTATGAGAACATCACCGAAACAGTGGGGAACACTCCGTGCGTCAAGATTTCGGATGCCATTTGCCCAAAGGGTCGCGCCATCTATGCCAAGTTGGAGTATTTCAACCCTTTGTCCAGCGTGAAGGACCGCTTGGCCTGCGCCATCACCGAGGATGCTGAGAAGACTGGCAAGTTGAAGCCGGGAGACACCGTGATCGAGGCCACCAGCGGCAACACCGGCATCGCTGTGGCCATGCTGTGCGCGCAGAGGGGCTACAAGTGTGTCATCACCATGGCTGAGCCCTTCTCCATCGAGCGCCGCAAGCTCATGCGATTTATGGGCGCAAAGGTGATCATCACCAAAGGCCGGCAAAGGCAGCGGCATGGTGGCGAAAGCCAAGGAGTTGGCTGAGAAGCACGGTTGGTTTTTGTGCCGCCAGTTCGAGAACGAAGCCAACGCGAAGTTTCATTACGACACAACTGGCCAGGAGATCTTGAACGACTTTGAGGGCATGAAGTTGGATTATTGCGTCCTGGGCTACGGCAAGGGTGGCACCTTGTCGGTGCTGGGCAGGCGTTGAAGGAGAAACGTCCCGGCATCAAGATCTGCCTGGGCGAGCCGGCGGACGCTCCATTGGTCCAATCGGGCACCAAGAGCGAACGCAACGATGACGGCAGCGCCACCGGACCCCACCCGGCCTTTAAGCCACACCCCGTCCAGGGCTGGACACCGGACTTCATCCCATTCATTGCGGAGAAGGGCATTGCAGCCACTGGCTATGATGAATATGTGCCAATCCCAGGTGATGCTGCCATTCGGATGAGCCAAATGTTGGCCAAGACCCAGGGAATCTTCACTGGAATTTCTGGAGGTGCCTCCATGTATGCCGCGGTTGAGATGGCCAAGAAGGCTCCAGAGGGGTCGGTTTTGGTGGCCATGTTGGCAGACACCGGTGAGCGATACCTGTCCACTCCCTTGTTCGCATCCATCAGTGTAGACATGAACGACGAGGAGGTGGAGATCTCCAAGTCTACTCCAAGCTTCCACCTATAAGCCACGTGGAGCCACGAGACTCGTTGCAGCAACGCTGATTGAAGGAACTTTTGGGCAACTCCCGGCGGGTGCCTTTTTTTTTTCCTTTGACAGTGACCACAGTGGCCTACAGCTGCGAGGACTTTGAATTATGCAGAAAAAGTAGATTTGCATCCATAAACTATGACAAGTAGATGGTGGCAGGAGCCACTGACAGTATGTATGTATTGTACATGTATATATATATATAGAGAGAGAGAGAAGGAGAGAGACAGACAAAATACACATGTTCATATTTACATGTATAATATATATATATATTAATATATATATATATTGATATATATATATTAATATATATATATATTAATATATATATATGCACCAGGCCCTGCCACCCCCCTGTGGTGTGGTGGGGGTGTGGTATGGTATGTTGGGTATGTATGGTGTGTATGGTCGGTCTGGTATGGCATGTTTGGAAAGTATGGTATGTTTGGTATGTATGGTAGGTATGGTATGTATGGCATGAGTGGTTGGTATTGTATGGATGGTAGGTATGGTATGTAAGTCTGTTGGGTATGGTATGTTTGATATGACAGTATGTATGGTCTGTATGGTATGTATGGTTACTATGATGGAATATTTCCTATGTAAGGTAGGTATGGTATGTATGGCATGTATGTTTGCTATTGTATGTATGGTAGGTGTGGTAATTACATTTCATATGTATGGTATGTATGGTATGTATGATAGATATGATAGGTATGGTATGCATGGCATCATTGACATGTATGGTAGGTACGGTATATGTTAAACACAGGTAGTGTTGTCAGAGTACACAGGTAGTAAATAGGAAGTAGATACAGTAGATACATAGCACATGTATATATGACTATAGGTAGCACGTAGGTACTTTGAGGGAGTATGTGTGCTACGTAGATCGTCTAAAAGGTAGCATGTACCTAGTAAATGCGAGGCTGGTAGTCAGAAATGCTGCAAAGACCTAGCAAAAACGAAGCTGGACCTCAGAAATGCTGCCAATAGCTTGCAAATAGAAGGGAAGGGGGTGCTACCTGTGGACCCAACCCATTGGGGGGGGTGGAGAGACGGAGGACGGGACCATATATATATATATACATGTGTAAATGTGTATATGTGCAAATGTATATAGCATATACATATATGTTTATATATATATGTCTACACATTAATATGTATGTGTACATATATACATATATATATATACAAATACATGCTGTACTCATACATGATGACCATCATGGAGAATACGCAATTCCCAGGTTTGGCCCTTTGTGGAGGACACAGTAAGATCTTGGCCCGTGCCCCATGGCATGTTTTGGTCGACCTTTGAGCGCGAAGCCTCCACAATCCACATGCATCACCCATTGGTTTCATTAGTTTTGTTTGTTTAAGCTTATATATATATAACCATTTTTGGATAGCGACTGGAATTTGATTCATATGTTTCCAAATTTTCAGGGGAATCCAAACCATCAATCAGCCTGGGTACCAAAATGTCCAAAGCTACCAGGTTGATTCAGGGGCGTGCCCAAAAGCCAAACTGGGGCTGTCATTGTGTAGGAAATCAACCTTGTTTTTGTTTCACCATTACGGATTGTAGAGCTAATGAACGGGGAAATCAAGTATGGGTATATATCAACTGGGTATATACGCGAAACGCCTACTAACAAGAACGGACATCATGGATTTCGAGGTCCTCGAATGAATGATTGCCTGGAATGATGAGTGGAACGCGTCAATGCGAGGAACTATTCATATGATATATCAGCAAGTTGGCTACAATTTCGTGATAGGCCTTAGGCATATATGCCAACCATAGCGGGCTGCTTGTCATCCCGTTATTCCTGGTAGATGCCAGCAAGACTATCTTATTAATATGGTATTCCCATTATTAAAGCCATTTACGCACGGATTTCGATCCCATTATGGTTGGCAGATGTTCTCATTACTCTTTCCTCGGTCTAGCATTCTGGAGCTCTATTGTTGCCGCTCTTGGCCCCACGGGACCAACAGCATCCGGCCGCAGGCCGCAAGTTTATGATGGATCTATCAATTCCCGACGTGCAGCGTCAATGGGCATTCTACATATCTAAGGCATAATCGCTTAACTACATTTCAGCACGTCCGTTTTTCCGCCCATCGTCTGGAAGGGATGTGGATGTGAGGGAGCGGAACGGAGTGGAAGAGGTGGTCCTAGATATTTGATTTTGCTTGGCCGCATCTTACACATACAGATAGTATACATATATATATATATTACCGAATAATTTGATGGACGAGGGCCGTTTTCATAAGATTTTGGTGGAAGAGATGGGTACAGAAAGAAGGATGAATGGGGGAGGGAGCAGATGGCTCTTAGGGTGCTGGAATGAAGCACACCCGAGGACATTGGCGTGGACAACGATATTGCAGTGCAGAGCGGTTTTGGCCATGAACCAGGGTAGTGCAAAACACAACAAAAATACCCAACGGCTAGGCCTGGCTTGGAAAAAGCACTCGCCGCACCAGGCGCGCAAAAAGCGCCCGCCCCAGGCGCGCAAGAAGCGCGCGCCCCAGGCGCGCAAAGAGCGCGCGCCTACAATAGGCGCGCAAAGAGCGCGCGCCCCAGGCGCGCAGAAAGCGCGCGCCTACAATAGGCGCGCGAAAAGCGCGCGCCTTTATGTAGGCCCTACTACCGTTTGGTAGGTGGTTTTAAGCAACGGAGGCAACAGTTTGACAGAAGCTGGGATACAACCCCAAACAGGAGGAACACACAGACTGGGATGATTTTCCGGCGGTATACTGAACCCATAAAGAAGCTGGGCGCCCAAAGGGGCGCCAGGCGCGCAAAAGCCGCGCGCCCTAGACCGCATGTGACGGAAGGAGTTATACAAGCTGAAGGCCCAGGAGATGGAATGGTGTGAGCTTATGTTCTCACTGTTGCAATCTAATGCATTTGGGTTGGCTGCTCATTGAGAAAAGAACTGAAAGCATATTTTTTTTGGCAGATTCTTTAATATCCGAAGGGTTCCTTAATATGGCTTCCATCTTGTTGAAACGGCTTTGTGGAGACTATTGAAATTGTGGAGTGCCGGTGGGCCTAACTTAGACTTGCGTGTTGTTGTTTTTCGTGCTTGCTACGCAGAGCTTGAAAGAACAAGCATGCATGCCGGAACTTGAATGGACGCTTCAAAGGCCACCCTGGATGCAAACACATGGCAACACAGAACAGCTGCATCGCCAGCGCCTCTAGACCTAGGCAATCAGAGACCTTAATCCGGGCACCTTCCAGAGCTGTTCCGGGCATTCTGGATTGGGAATCCCACCAAGGAGGGTGTCGCTGTGACACCGTGCTTGGGATGATTCAAAATGCCGAATCCCACTTGGAAAGCTTAGATGGCTTGGACTGGCCACATATACAAGAGAAGCAGCTGAGGCAACAATGTTTCTTCTGATTGTGGATTCCGAATCCCACCAAGCAGGGTGTCGCTGTGACACTGTGCTTGGGATGATTCAAATTCATCAAAAGGACCAATACAGTTGAGACGATACGGGACTTGGTGGCATAGCCGCTTGAAGAGAAAGTGTTTCTACCTTTTGGCTTGTCAAAAGAACGCGTAGAGCAGAAGATATAGAAACGATAGGCAGTACAATTTTGAGCGAACCAAGGCTTTAGATTTTAGAGTGCCACATAGTTGGACACAATTTTGCCGGCAGCACCGAAAAAGATTTGCGTCCTCTGTGATGGAGCATGCATGTGTTTCTTGAGCCCAAAGGAAATCAGCTCTTGGTGCGAGCAATTAATGCGATTGTTTTCGCACCCACGTCGCAGATCAAAATTCAAGCCATGTGCTGCTGACGGCTACAGCCGGGAAGAATGGCTGCGTGCCACAGTGGCCAACTGCTATATTCGCGTTCCGTCGCGTTGCAGTATATAATGTTGTATGTAAGTCCTCCGCCATGCCCTTTCCAGTCGGCTTTGGGGCGGGGTGCTGTTCTTGGCTGGGTCTTCATCTTTTGTGCCGTCTCCAGTCCAACCTCATCGGCATTCCCCGCCTTCTTCCCTTCCATTGCATCCCGGCAGCTTACGCTTGCAGTTCCCCAATGCCTTTGTTGGTGAAGCCGAAATCCAATTCCACAATGGCCTAATGATCTACAACTACCTCTGCTAGACTCATGATGTGTGAGCGCGATGAAAGTTTCCAAACTTTCTCTTGAAGTCAGCTCAGCAGTGGCAAATCCAGACACCGCACGGCTATCACCTTAAGACGCAATGCGAAATTCCGAAATTCACCGGCTGCGCCTTGACACTGGAGATCTTAACCTTTCACTCAAGATGCACCTGCTCCCATGTGCTGGACTTGAGTGAGATAGGCAGGGGCCCCAGAAGTCATTGGGCTGCAGACATTTGGAAAAATATTCCCATGCGAAAGACGGCAACTCTGGCAACGGCTTCAGGTGTTCTTAGGGGGGCTCAGATAGGAATTCAAAACGCTGATGGCGAAATCAGGGCCTGCCGCGCGCACACCGCCACAGGTTCTGCAACAATGTTCTCCAGCACTTCATATTTCACAAGCCATCAGTTGAAGTTTGCTGGTGCGACGACAGAACGTGTGCAGGTGAAGCATGAATCCTGAGCCTTTCGGTTCCCTATCGCTATCGGCTTGCAGTGTGTTCTTGAGCCGCTCAGCATCAGTGAAAACGGCCTTACTTGATTGCAATGTGACAATGTGTTCCCTCAATTGCCCGGTCATCTTCTCAGGGACGGTGCTTGCCCGTGACAGGCGGGATGACTATAGCAAAGCATTGTTGCCAAGCAAACTTCACCTGGAACAGAGGAAGCGCCTGCTCCCATTTAATCTTCTAGTACTGGTAGATGGTCTGATAATTAACGAGTAAGTCCCACAATCCAAAACAGTAATTTAATGAAAGCATTGATAATCGATGATTATAGCTGTTACCAGGTGTCATTGTGTTTGCAACTCTTTAAACTTAAGCTGTGGGTGCTACTGTGGTGGTTCATTCTGCTTCAACCTGGATGGACCCATCGCCACTGGTGGCGATGATGTAGGGGCTTGTATTTATCCACGGATGATCGGGCTGAATTCTGATGGCCTCAAAAAAAGTTCGGTAATGTTTTTTTTTGCCATGCCTTTTGCTGTCATATTATTGGTCGATGCGAATTTGCTTCGCAACTGGAGAAAAACAACCAATAGCCAACCCCACGGTCAAACTGCTGTTCCTACATAGTGGCTGTTGTTTCGAAGTTGTGGGAACGGCCCTGTGATTATCCAAAGAATCCCTGTCCAGGTCTTGTTTCTTATGTCTGTAAGTGCATTGAAGTGCCTAGTCCTGTGATGTTGAGCATTGATATTGTTAAGGGAGTTTTGACCACCATCAAGCCCTCTTCGGTGCTTATTTCATCCCAGCCAGTTCATGCGAATTCACCCTAGTAGCCATAATTAACCATAATCAACCGCAACCACAATTCACTTTTTGTGGGTAGTATTGGGTAGTATACGTATGAGTCAAAATTGGGTACACCCATCTTTTTTCACCGGCCAGGACATGGAGCGAATCATCCCCGCTCACTTCGATGCGCCTGTGGCTGCCACGGCACAGGACACCAAAATTTCGCAGAATATTGGCAAAAATATAGGGAGTTAATGGGACTTTATAGGGACTTTATAGGATTTAATGGGATATAATCATGAACAATAGGGACATGACAGACTGAACTGTCAAGAACGGGATGATAAGTTTTTTTCCCCTAGTAATTATTAATCACACCCAAATTCTATAGTCCCAAATATGTGTATTTTTTTACTAGACCATGGTTTCTGGGCTGTGCATTTAATATTTGGAGGAAGGGATTACTATAGATAGATAGGTATGAATAGATGTAATGTAAATGGAAGTTTAGAAGTCTAAACTCCGTTATACGTACTGTGGACATGTGACATCATAAGATCACAACAACAATACATCACCACAACAATACATCACCACAACAATACATCACCACAACAGTACGTCACCATAACAATACATCACCACAACAATACATCATCGCAACAATACATTACAACAAGAATATAGCATCACAACGTTGACGCAGTTACATTGTGATTTGCAAGGCAATGACGGCAGATCACAGTCGCAGTGGAATTGCTTCGTCCAGGTGACGCTTGGAGGTTGGAAATCGCACGAAACCCTGTGTTTTGTCGCTGGGATTTTGTCTGTGCAAGCTTTACAGTACGAAGTAGTACTGGGAAGTCCTTTGTCCGTACAAGTCTTGTTTTCGGGTAGTACTCGGAAGTCCTTTGTTTGTGCAAGTCTTGTTTTTGAAAGTAGCACTGGGAAGTACTTTGTGCCAGCTTTGCAGTACAAAGTAGTACTCGGAAGTCCTTTGTCTGCGCACGTCTTGTTTTTCAAAGTAGCACTGGGAAGTACTTTGTGCAAGCTTTGTAGTACGAAGTGGTACTCGGAAGTCCTTTGTCTGTGCAAGTCTTGTTTTTGAAAGTAGCACTGGGAAGTACTTTGTGCCAGCTTTGCAGTACAAAGCAGTACTCGGAAGTCCTTTGTCTGCGCACGTCTTGTTTTAGAAAGTAGCACTGCGAAGTACTTTGTGCAAGCTTGGTAGTACGAAGTAGTACTCGGAAGTCCTTCGTTTGTGCAAGTCTTGTTTTTGAAAGTAGCACTGGGAAGCACTTTGTGCAAGCTTTGTAGTACGAAGTAGTACTGGGAAGTACTTTGTGCCAGCTTTGTAGTACGAAGTAGTACTGGGTTACTGGGAAGTACTTTGTGCAAGTTTTTTGGTGTAGGAAGGACTTTGTGCAAGTTTTGTAGTTCACAGGATGGGTTTTGCTAGCAAAGTACGAATATGTCAAGAGAAAGAGATGCGAAGAGAAAGACCTGAGAATGAAAAACCACCTCAAGACAAAGGAGATGTCAAGATAGAAGGCCTCAAAGGAACATAATTTTGAACAGAAAGACGTATCAACAAAAACTTGAAAACCAAGCGAAAGCCGTGTCAAGAGAAGGGGATGTGGAGAGAAAGAGCGTCAAGATTCCGGGCTTGTCAGGAGAGAAAGAAGTTTGTCAGGAGAGAAGAGCGTGTCAGGTCCCGGGTTCCAGAGCTGTCAATAGGAGGGGCTGTCAAGATTCAGAGATGACAAGCGCAAATGGGATGGAGAGAAAGTGGCATCATCAGAAAAAGAAGTTGAGAGAGAAATGTCAGGGAGAAGAAGACGTTCGGACAAGCAGCAAGCAACCGGAAGGTCTGTCAAGATCCAGAGATGTCAGGAGCAAGCCGGATCAAGAGAAAGTGGCAGCATCAGACAAGATGTCGAGAAAAAGAAATGTCAAGGACAAAGAGGTCGGAAGATGGAATTTCATTTCATGTAGAATGCAAACTAGCTCACTCGGCATGGCCTAGGACACATAGCAACTTGTGATGAATGACACTATGCACTATGTAGATGCAATATATGAGATACGGAAGGAACAAGTGCTGCATGTTGAATTGCTCTCATCTCTGCAGTGGGACTGTAGGACTGGCGTGATGCTTTTTGCCGTGCTTTCGGAGAACCGAGCGACTCTCCATTTTCACAGATTTCCGGCTGGGGCCCTGAGACTTGTGAGGAAAAATCCACAGACTGTAAGAAGAAAGGAAGAAAGGCCCAAGAGGAGATGGCAAGGTGACAGACGATGGGAGTGCAACTAGATGCAACTCATGAAACTGTGTAGGCAGATGTAAGCATTACTGTATATGATTTTTTGCTGTGATTTGAAGTGTATGTTATGTTTTATATGGTTTGGTGGCATGGCACTGATATGCATGTGCGCAACCGGTGTGGCTCAACAGCTATGCAGTTCCCAAAGGGAAGCGTGCAAATGAAATGTTTTTCATCATCCCAGTTCTGCTGGTTGCTTGGATTGGTTGATCCCTCCCATGTCAAGGCGAGCGTGGAAAGACCGTGCTTTATTGGGATCTCAGTTCATCCAATTTCGCATGTTAAAGTCAGATGTTTGCATGATGTCAGTCAATGGCATGACAAATGCAGAACTGAGAGTGTTTTATTATGTTTTATCACTTAGAAGCGTTAGAAGGGCCCATGGTCGCCTCTTAATCACAAGACGAGACGAACATGTGCCATTTCCAAATTCGAATAAGAATCATTTCAGGCGTCCCCATCTACCAGGATATTGCAGGTTCCACTTGTGTTTTTGCAGCCGGAAGAGTACGCTGAGGCTTGGGTAGCCGGGCAGGAGTGTCCCACGGATGTGTGCGATCAATGCTGCGTGAATCGGAGCAGCTACAACTGCTCATATCCAGGCCGGTTCCATCAAGACCAGCGACCAGGGACCAGGGACTGGGGCTGAAGAAATGGCTAAGGCCACACAGGCACATTGAATCTATGGAATTTTAACGATGAACAAGAGTCGCAAACTGCATGAACATACTTCATTGTCTCCCTTTCGTTTGATATGTAAGGATTGCACTTGATGTAGCCAGTCAGATTGTTTAAGCATACCTACCATATCCATCCATATCCATTCATATCCCGCAATCAATGTTTTCCCCCGATGATCAGCAAACATGACCGTGACCCAAGCCCTGCCAACCCTGACCAGGTCTTGAACATCTCAGACCGGGGAAGTACCAGGGCTTGACGGCCAATTATTTGTCCTACGCGACCGAGACCTCATCGCCCAGCTTCATCCCCCGAGCCCGTGAATTCGAGGACCAAAATGACCTGAATCGAGAAGGTTCACTGCAGATTCTCTTTCGGTTGCACCAAAAAACGGCAGGTTTCAGGCTTTCAGAAATATACGATAAGAAACAAGATAAAGAAGGACGCGTGCTGGTTTTACCCATTCACAGAAAGTTATCCACATTTCATATCTCTTTATATATCACAGGATATCGAGTATTTGTGAATACATGTGATATCATAAAAATTACTTTACTTCGTGTGATCCCCACCATGACATTTATACATTTTCTTACTGGCAAATCTTCTGGCATTCTATCTGATATATCTTCTGGCATTCTATCTGGCATATCTTCTGGCGTATCTTCTGGCATATCTTCTGGCATTCTATCTGGCAAATCTTCTGACATTCTTTCTGGCATATCTTCTGGCATTCTATCTGACATTCTATCTGGCATATCTTCTGACATTTTTTCTGGCATTCTATCTGGCATATCTTCTGACATTCTATCTGACATATCTTCTGACATCCTTTCTGGCATATCTTCTGACATTCTGTCTGGCATATCTTCTGACATTCTTTCTGACATTCTTTCTGGCATTCTATCTGGCATATCTTCTGACATTCGATCTGACACCTTTTCTCACATTCTTCCCGTTGAGGTCCGGCAGTGCCCACTGCGATCTGGAAGTCGCGGTTGAGGTCCGGCAGTGCCCACTGCGATCTGGAAGTCGCGGTTGAGGTCCGGCAGTGCCCACTGCGACCTGGAAGTCGCGGTTGAGGTCCGGCAGTGCCCACTGCGATCTGCAACTTGCGGTTGAGGTCCGGCAGTGCCCACTGGGATCTGGAGCTCGCGGTGGGGGTCCGGCTGTGCCCACTGGGATCTGGACTGCGAGGAGGAGGCGGCGGGTGAGGAGGCGGAGGAGGCAGAGGAGGCGGAGAACAGCTCTGATAAAATCTAACAACCCTCACCAGACATTTAGTACAGAATTCAGAATGCTCCATCCTTCTCCAATAAACATATTCGACATCTTTCACCAGCCACCCTGGAACGCATCCTGAAGATCCACACAGCAAATGCATCATACACGCCAATGATTTAGTTGCTCCCATTGGAGAGTCCTTTCCTTTGGAAAAAAACTCAACTGACAGACAATCCCGACAGCCCTTAGTGCACCGCAGGAATGCACCGGAGGAAAGATCAGCTTTTCAGAAGCCAGCAACATTTGGGAAGATCCCATTCGGGATCTTGGTCATGAGGCCACTGGATACTCCGACAGTGATTGGTATGTCTATTGGTTTGTCGGCTGAGTCAGGATGATTTCAGTTCCCCACACAAAGGCTGACGAAGTGCCCTTTGAACATAGACGAAGTGCTTGTCTGAGCATACCAAAATCCATCCAAAATCCCTTTGTTTATCATCATGAATTTTCCTCATGAAAATTATCATTTGTGGGTAATTGCATAATTACCCCATTTTCAGACACACGCAGATGGCATGGCCTATCGTCTGACGTAGAGCTGCCATGTGCAGAAAAGGTGGATGAACTTGTGGGTGGAATTTCAACTAGAGGTACCTTGGAACTTCAACTGCGATGGCGTTGTATGTGACTTTATGATCACAAGTTCATCAGCAATGTGGGCAGGTTCGACAAGTTGTCAACGCAAAATCACAAAGTTAAGACTTTTGTGATCCATGATAAACACTAGCTTCATCCAGAGATAGCCACATCCAGTCAGCACTTTTGACATCAGAAATATCCAAAAGATCCTGCCAGGAAAAGGATGGGTTGGGGATCTACCATGCGTACTTTATGAGCTACTCACACTTTCCTGCTCCTTAGCAGCCTTGGCACGATGCTGCCGGACTGACCACGCATGACCACCGTGAAATCACCCATAGCCCACAGCAGTATAGTTTTCCATCCAAAACTGCGCTCCCACAAAGGTTTGGAGTGGATCTGAATATTTGTTGTGGACATAGCTGTAAACGACTCTAATTGATGTACTTTACCCACTGAATACACTGCGTACGGATTGAGATCAAACAAATCAACATGTGCAGCTATTTGATACAAGTACCTGGTACATTCTGGTACCTTCAAAGAGTGGCATTCCTGATGTACCTTGTCACTGTACTTCAAACTAGTTCTGTTAGGCCTATTGCAACTTGTTGGTGCAAGTTCTGTCTCTTTGTAACTGTCTCAATTCATGTTGTGCCACGGATTTGGGGTGCTCAGAGATTAAGCACGATCCATTGATATCTCCATCCATTTGAGGTCCAGGACCTTCAGGTACATGGCGCATCTATGTGGATGAATAGTATGCGTACTTTGCACATCTCTACACTTGATTATGATTTATTATGTTTTACGTGCATGATTTCACATCACCATTTGTTTCATCTTGTTTCAACCTCAGCCTCAGCCATTTCCCACCTCCCTGTGCCCGTGTCAGCTGAGGAAGCTAGTTCCTTGGATATGGCGGAAAGCCTCAGCGGGCGTGTGGAGCTGTACAACACACATTTGAAGTGGGAAAACATCTTCCCCAAGGCAGGAAAGCCATATGCCATCTTCAGGACTGCATTTGAGAGACGAAGCGATTGTTGTAGGTCGAGGATGGTCAAGGCTAGACTGCTAGACATGATTGGGAAACTGATTTGTATATACTGTATATTATATATATATACTGTATATATTATATGAGATATGTGTTTTTTGTGTTTCTTTTTATCGAACTTCTGAATGATGATGTGTGACATGAAAGTTTTTTTGACGACTTCACAAACAGTTCTGCCGGCAGGTACAGGAAATGGGCAGATACAGGACAGTTGGCGCACTCCTTGTTGGCTGGCGAGGGGGATACATCAAAAGGCACTCTTACATTCAAACATCTTCTCCAGCAAATTGTGGATTGACTGTGAAGTGCCTTCTTAGATCACTCGCTTGAAAAGTCTCTTGGTTGAGCTGTTCAATGCGGACGTCCCCTTGGACACTCTGACTGGGTCATGTTCTACTCATGCGTTAATGGGTTCGCGTGGGACTGAAGGCACTCAGCCGAATTTGGTTCTGACATGGTGATTGGAATCCTGCGAGAGTAAGGTTGCCATTGTCTTTGGAAAGCAGCAAGTGCATACAGTAAGTTGTTTGGTTTTTGAAGTATTGTCTGCGAATGTGCGACTGGTGGATGTTTCAGCACAGTGCCGAATCCTGGGTCCTGGGGCCGACTTGCAGCGTCAGGAGAAACGGTACTAAAGACCTACAATTCCTGATGTGTCTTGCTGCAGCGTAAGAATCCAGCCACACAAGATGTTTGTTCAATCCCAGGCACCTGCACCCGGTGACAGGCGGTGACAGATGACAACTAAAAGCCAGCTCGCCGTCAGAAAAACGGAGATGGTGTTTTCTCCACCTAAAAAGGATCCCTAAACATGAACTTTGCCATCAATTTGCCATATTCCATCTATAGGCTATAGTCCATCCCATTCCCATTTCTGGACCATTTCTGGACCTTGGTCCAAGGTATGATGGTGACTTCTTCGTCCCCCTGATTCGTTTGGATCTCTTAGAACGAGATCACTTACCTCTGCCCAACACCTGGGAGGAGGTCATGGACTTAGCTGAGAGAGCCTTGGCCGAAGAATTTGGCACAAAACCCATGGAAAGATCATCATTTTATCATGTTCCTATAGTTCCCTGTAAACAATCTATAAAACAATGGTCGTAGAGTATCAATCACACATTGTCATTTTGAAGCAAATCCATTGGACGACAACATGGAAAGTAGATAGTCCTTGAAGCAGTTTGACCAGAAAAAGTTGGCACATCCACTGACACAACATCATAACCAACCAGTAGAGAGGGACATGGATCATTTTATGACATCTGATGATGATGATGATGAAGATGATGATGATGATGATGATATAGATATAGATATAGATATAGATATAGATAACATGCGTACACACATTATATATATACACATATTGATACATTTTGTACATACGTATGCAAAGTATAATACCAGTATTTTGATATGTTGGTGCCTTTCAAATTTGGGATCAGGAAGTCAAGAGAAAAGTAGCAATGACGGCCAGGTGTACCGGGGTCTGAAACCACCGTGATTGGGATTGATTCGAAATCGGCACCTGTTTTTTTAAAGACATCATCCTGCAAAGTGTGCTGAACTGTTGGTTTTGTAATGAGATTGTCTAGTTGGTGGTGGTTCAAACACGTTCAAACGTTGGCACTCCAAATACCTCCGAAATGACAGAAGTGATAGTTGGGAAAGTCCTGGGGATCCAAACAATTGTAAGAGAGGACCGCTTTTCTTTCTTCAAGGTGGCCAAAGATGGCAAAAGCACCATCACAGATTCTATCATATCGGTCAATACACTTTTGACACTGGCATGTCTGTAGGGTCAAAATCCCAACCAACAAACGCAAGATTGTTGTGAGTGCAACTGGCATCCCTTCTCAAACTTGATACTATACACTGCTGGGTGGTAAGCCTTCACCAGACACAACTTTGCTGCAACTTAGCTTCAAGACAAGAAGTGTGGGTCATGGGACCACACGAAGTCCACATGATCATACACAACCACTTCCCGACCGATGCAATCTGATTGTGTGTAGTGAAAACATTACTTTCACAATCCTATGTGTCAGCCGTGATCTGTATATATATATATATTATATATATATCATATTATATTATATTATATTATATCATGCACATGCGTGTATATATATACTGCGCGTGTGTCTGAAATGGAGTATTCCACCAATTCATGACCATGTTAGTGGGAAATTGGGTTTTAATCCATTGTTCCCTAAATTTTATGACACACCCGCATCATTCTATTCCTTTACATTATATCCCCAATAGGCAGCCATTGTTTTGGATTCAGGATATAGCAACACGGACCTCAATGATGACGGGGAGCCAGACTTTGGCATTTGCCATTTTCCACGTGAAGGTGCTGGCCACTTTGCGACCTGTTCGCAGTTGCGACGCCCCTGCTACCAGTAACATCCTGTTTATTCTTTGAAAGTTGTATATGAACGCGACATCATCGAGATTCATCGAGCCAAATGCAATGGTATCAACATATGACCCCAGCAAGAACCAACTTCAAGCTTTGGATCCCACAGCAGTTGAGGATTGGTGGTGGGCTGAGCTGATCTATGGCATTTGGGCAACCTACTCCCAAGTCCAGGCGCAAAATGATGAAGTCTGTTTGCAAAGGGAAGGTACTCCTGCTTTCTACCTGCTTTGTTTTTCATCAGAAAGACAAGAAAACCAGCTAAACAGAAGGGTGACATATGATATGCGGTCGGTGCTCATTCTACTGGCTTTGTGCATCAGGATGAGGGAGCCACCAAAGTATCCAAAATTCCAAACAAAAACTGAAAGGAGCCACAGCAAATGTTCAGAATGGACCAACACTCAATATATCTCAATATTGTGTTGTTTCTTTATGTTGATTTTGTGCATCAGATTGACTTGATCAACGCGAGAACTCGGGCCGTGTTTTTTTTTACAAAGCCAGGAAGTTCCCAGTTCTCGCCAGGACACCACGCAGGGTTTTCTGTTCGATCCCCGCACGCTGGAGCCAAACATCAATGGTCCTGCCTTTGCTGAAGCCATCAAACACATGAGAACCATGTGGCAGGCGGGGAAAGCCAGGGCTGGTGGAAACCTCCAAAAGGAGGGTTGCTGTGTGCGTGAAAATGGGGCATACCGGCAACAAGCACTATACCACCAACTTGTGGCTAATCCAATAATTATATGGGAAATGGATTTTAATGGATTTTAGGGATACCCCAGTTCAAGACAAAGCCGAATGGCATGGGATGCTCTGGCAGTAAAAAATGCGGAGATCCAACAGCAAGAAAATATGAGAAAATTGTATTGTGGAAACATGGTATTTTCGCCTATTGCACGGGTTTGCAAAGGTGCCATGTGCCCATCCAAGCTCTGGTTTATTGTGTGATCGAAGTATATTCTACATCCAGTATCCTATTATATCCTATTATTTAAAAAATGGAGGCAACACGATTGAGGTTTGTTTGTTTTGATGCAAAATCCAGAAATGTTCAATTCGGACCATGCTTGGTTAGAGAAACAGCTGCTGAATGCAGACAGGGTGACCTTAGAATGACAGAGCCCTCAACACAGTCGAATGACACACCGCCGCACAGTTGGGAGCAGATGGATGCATCAGCGTCACTGGCCTGAAACGATCTCCATGGGCTTGTGGTGTTGGAATCCCCAAGGAAGTTTCTTAAATGTGTTAGCTGACTTTGACCCCTTTGTTCGCAGACACAAGTGCTTTCAACCAAGTATAATTATAATAACAACAATATATATATATATACCCAATATGTCTTTATCTATTTTAAACAGACAGATGGATAATATATACGTGTCAAATACTTACTATTTTGTACCCAGTGAAACACGAACCCCACAGCCTGCGCCTGGAAATGTATTTGGGAAGCACGAGCTCAAATCATTTCACGGCACAGCCTGCCTTTATCTCCGGTGTGGCAACTGGTCTGGAAATAGGATCCCAAGAAATATCCCATTAAAAATGATCAACAGCTTCCCCATCAAATGGCACAAGCCGATTTGTTCTTTACCAAGATCATTCGCCCTGTTGAAGGATGTTCTAGCCAAACTCATGAGCATTGCCCGTTGGAATCGCCATGTTTTGGTAGCTCTGAACTTTGTGTCATGTGACTGGTGGTTCCAGCCGGCAAAAGCTCCTAGAGAGATGTTGGTTATTGGTTGTTTCTTGGATGTATTTGGATGTGTCATATTTAAACTTAGATTACTTGAGCAACATGGAACCCAGTCAATTCGATGGCAACAACCTTGGCAGAGTTCCATAGTGTCCCTCACCGTAAATCTGAAACCATGGAGCGGTTCCTTGGAGTATCCGTTGCGAGACATGAATCCCAGGATTACTTCAGCACAGGACATGGGATGCATTCAACTGGGTACAGCGCCAAAACGATATGTGATGTAACCGAGAGTTTGAAATGGAACTGGGGATTTGACATGACATGAGAAGAGGGCATGTTGTTGTGTTTTTTGGGGAGTTCGGTAGTTTGGGCTTGCACACACAGATGTATGGAGTCACAGAGCATCGCTCAAGTCATGGGGTATCCGAAGTTATCCAAATATGTCGATCTTTAATGAGAAACAATTGAAACAATTGAAACAATAAGTATACAATAATAAAATGTAAGTATGATTTGTGGTACCCCAATTTTTAGAAACGCCAACTGTGAGGACGCTGTGCCATCGGCTTTTCACCTCCAGGGTGCTGGAAAGGCGCTCGAGCGTTCCATGTGGAGTGGTTATAGGGGCCCACTAAACCCCTAAACGAAGTGACCGACAAAGCTACCGTTGGAAGATGGAGATACCAAAAATCTTAGGAAATCCTCAAAATTACAGTAATGGTTTTAAACAATAATTGTCCATTTAAACCTCAAGGGTCTAATCTAGAACCGCCAAAATCTGTGCCAATCCGCAGCGGAAAACAAGCGCATCAACTTTAGAATCATGTTGTCAACAGGATTGCTTCAGTCAGATGATCTACTGTTAGCCGAAGCAAAGGATGAGACACTCGTGATGTATCGTGATGCAGCCGGCTGAATCTGCGTCTAGTTCATGTTTGCAGTCGTTATATAAAGTGTTCAGTCTCCTTTTTTGCGGGTCGCAGCACAAATCTATTCCATGCTATTCCATGCTATTCTTCATCACGGCTTTTTATGGCCGCATGGCTGTATAAGATGCTGTATCAGGTGTCTTCAAGAATGGCATTGCCCGGAAGCATGAGAATGGCACAGTGCTGTGGCAGCCAAAGATGCAAAATGGGAGCTATGCAGAACCCTACAGGTTCAAGCCCTTCGGCACCACCAAGGTCGAGGTCGACGGTATTTTGCAGGACCGCATCGACATTGTGGTTAGTGGGAAAGCATGGAAACGCACCCGTTCATGAGGAACATCCATTTTTATACAACACATTTTGCGGTTCACCAGGCTACCATTCAAAGCCAAATTTTAGTCATTCTCAGCATCGGTTGTACGTTCTCCCCGTCAAAGCGTCCAGGAATGCACAGCCTTTCTCTGCCCATTTGCCGAGAGAATTCCTGAGAGAGGTCACCATGGTGACAATGAAACCAGCTTGCAATGTGCGCACATGAAATGTATATGTGGGATCATGATTGGATCATGTGGGTATGTCTGAAAATGGAATATATATACCAAGAACATTCCCATTTACTGTAGCGGGAAGAGAATGATGAAGAATGGGATACTATATGATACTGTATGATGGGATGAATGTTTTTGTGTACGCTATCTTAAACCAATGTGATTACACTGGATTTGTATGGATATTGGAAGAGCACTGGAAATCCAAATGACTGCGTTAAACTGTGTCCCAGAAAGGCCATTGGTTGATGCGAGGGATTTACGTTATCCATATTTGATGGTTAAATCACCATTAAACCACCAATATTTTGCTACTCTATAATTCTGTAATTCTTCAGATAGTCCATTAAATCAAATTTCATAACTATATACATATATATATATTATATTATATATATAAGTTACGTATTATCATCATTTTACTATCATTATATCACCAGAATGTCTCATTCCGAGGATCGCGCCGCGGTGCTGCCCGTGTCACCATTGGCTGGTCAGCTGATCAACCGTGCTCCCTTCTTCTGGAGTGGAGGCCTGGGGGTTACCGCTGGATGGTTTATGGAAAATCCGAACATAAAAAAATGGATATAACTGGGGGTCTGGGGGTACAACCCCCATGATTTTAAGACAGCTCCATTTATGGTATATTAACAAAGCCCTATAGCCCCATGGCTCATCTCGCTTACATCTCTTTGACATTGTGTATTTCTCTAGCTGTTGCAGTGTTGCATTGTGTTGCCTATGTGCTTTTTGAGCAAACCGTTCTTGCTGCACATATGTACTCTAGTCTTTAGGTGGATTTTCTGCTTTACCCCGCCATTTAAATTCAAAACGATGTGGGGCACCTAAAAAGCTACACCGGTCAAAATATGTCAAGATTGAAGACGTAGAAAGATACGAGCCAACTACGTCATTGGAAAACAAGGTCAGTGCTCAAAAATGTGTATGGGAATGGAGAACCAGGAAGGGGTCGCCTCCCCTTTTGCAGCAACCTCAAATACATTCCGTCGCTCAACACTCAGGTGCTTATACATCTCCATACCTGCAATTGCCTGCACACGCATCATACGTATGGAACTTTGTAATTTACCTATTTGACCGTATGAATCTATAGTGATTGTTTGCTTATGTGTGTGTTTTTCATGGTTTTTCCGTAACACATCGTAACACAGACAATACAGGTGATATCAGGTGATATCAGGTGATATCAGGTGATCCTTGTTTCCCCGCATTTTCCTCCCTCACAGCATGGCGTAGGTCTTGGGATCATGATCCGCAAGACAGCTCCAGAGCAGATCAAGGCACCATGTAATCGCTATGAACGATGTCAATCGATGTCAGTCATCTTGAACAAGTTGAAATCCGATGCAACTTGAGATTTTCTGAGGGATCTTTGTAATTTTGATATTGTTTCATGTTCCCTGCCATTCAAGTTGTTCTTTGCAGGATGGATTGGCATTGGATATCAATCGAGATCATACATATTAGGATACGTGATGATACGCGTTTACTGCATCATGGATGATAATGTATTTTAGATTTTATGATTTTGAAGCATTTATTTGACCAGTATGATTTACGAGATGAGCCCTGTCAACCTTCTCTTCCTAGAGTACTTTGCGCATGCGTCGCGTCAGGACATGATGTGGGACTTCATGGTCTACACCAATAGTGCAGTGACTTCAGCCAAGGACCTGCCAATCCAGGCTGCAATTGGAGGTTTACTAATGGCCTCTCTTTATCTTTATCCCGTCACTTTGTGTGTTCATTTTCTTCGTTCACTTGACTGGTATAGAGTTACTAGATCTGGCCAACTTGCTTGAGATGAGTCAACTCCATTCGATTTTAAGATACTTCAAGTCTTCAATGTGCAAAAAAAGCCAAGAAATCCATAGAAATCTATAGAAAATATACAAATCCTTCAGTCCTTCAGTCCTTCAGGATGTTGCCTCGTATGTCAGCTGGTTGGATGCTTGGCGCACCACCCAGCTGCCAGAAGATGGTCAACTCTTTCGTGAAGCTGGCTGGTCTGAGGCTGGCGACCATTGCGACCATTGTGACCATTGTGGGATATCGGATAGTTGTTGCGGTACATCCACAGTTTGATGAAGGGGTCTGTAAATGGGCTATGTTTCAAAAAATTGTCATTTTGATGTATCTTAAGTGCTTCTACGCATCAATTTCTGGGATACCTTATCGTTTAAAATATATACAGCAAGGGTAAAACAAAATGATCCCGACTGTCCTCTAACGTTCCACACAACTGTCTTGAATCCTAGACGAATTCCATGGGTGGGGTGAGAGGCTGCATATCGAGAGCACCGGAACATTATGACGTGGGCTCTTGGGGAGAACTCCAATGGCGCGTTTAATATTCGCTTGCCAGGTGGGGAATCTTGGGGACGGAGATCTGGTAAGATCTGGTAAGATCTGGTTGGCTATGTTGGCTGCAACAGGCAGTCAGCTTTCCATCCTGGCACATGCTGACATCATTTTGCAAATATATGTTTGGAACCCCTTTTGGCATCTTTTGGTGAGGTCCACACTGAAAAATCCATCACTCTGTGCTGGCTATGGCCGGAAGACCGCGCACTTTTCTCTAATCCTTCCCACCTGAATGCCTTGCAACAATTCCCTTCGAAGAATCAGAGAATAATTATCAGAGATGATCTTCGCTCAGAGAACAGGTTAATAATGTTTATTGTAAGACTGTCCAGACACCTCTGATTCTATTAGGAAATATGTGAGATGTAAGTGAATAGACTACAACCATCTTGAACCTTGAATTGATCATGGCATATCATGGCGTGTTCGCCAAAATAGACCCTCGTGGCTCTTGGGCTCTTCATCTATGAATTTGATCTTCCAGTCACGAATCCCATGGATCCCATGATATGGCTATGGATCAATACCTATACATACCATTTTTAGGGGGATGAACATCCATTTACCAGCTATTTTGATGTTCACCAGGGGTACAAGGTTTTGACACACTGCCATATCCCATGGCCGCCATAGGTGCCAAAGCCTACACCCATCTGGTCCTCGCCACGGAGATGCGGAAATTCTTCGCTGGGACCATCTCGGAGGCCGAGGCCGTGCGACGTGCCTTGCCACCCGAAGGGTCTCCGGAGGGGTGGCTGGAGCTACTGGTATATGAATGTATATGATACGTATATGATACGTAGATATTATAATATGCTTTACATACATATATAATACCCGTTGAATTTTTTGTTACTAAATCTGAGGCCTCAGGGCCGTTACAGAATGGTTTTTGGCTACCATTTTGTGCAAAATTTTGACCCTGGGTTTTGCCATCTTGTAAGTGGACCCCCCCCTGGTACCGGAATTTTGCATTGGAAGTGCGAGTTTGTTACCCTCCAGTCCCGACCATTCTGTCGGAGTCTGGAGGGCTAATCAATAACCACTACAAATTGGATGAATAAGAGTGTATATTGAATGCATCAAGTTCCAATGCAGTCTGATAAGTGTACTTTATTGATGCCAACGTGAACAAATTTAACATCAGTCGCGACTTGCGATTTATGTCATTGCTCATGGAAGAAGAAGAATCAAATGTAGAATTTTTGTGCATCAAGTTTGTTGCTTGGACAGATAATATATATATATATATATAATTATATATATCGATATTTATATTTTTTGATTATGACATCCAACGTTGCATTTAATGTTTAGCTTGGCCACTCAGACAGCGTCACAGACGGATGAACGCAAAAGAACGGAAAAAATGAACCGCGACTCGGGTTGGCCGGGCTGTTGCAGGTTACTTCCCAGCGATCTATAGGATAGTGCGAGTATAGCCACCCCCAGTCCCCACCATTTTGTAAAGGGCAAATCGAGCCAACGGATGCGAGCGGATGCGAGTCGAGCAAAATCGGTGACTCATTTTGTAACTAGGGGTCAGATATTATATCTATATATATATATCGATATTTATATTTTTTGATTATGACATCCAACGTTGTATTTAATGTTTAGCTTGGCCACTCAGACAGCGTCACGCCAAAACAGACGGATGAACGCAAAAGAACGGAAAAAATGAACCGCGACTCGGGTTGGCCGGGCTGTTGCAGGTTACTTCCCAGGGATCCTAGGATAGTGCGAGTATAGCCACCCCCGGTCCCCACCATTTTGTAAAGGGCAAATCGAGCCAACGGATGCGAGCGGATGCGAGTCGAGCAAAATCGGTGACTCATTTTGTAACTAGGGGTCAGATATTATATCTATATATATATATATCGATATTTATATTTTTTGATTATGACATCCAACGTTGTATTTAATGTTTAGCTTGGCCACTCAGACAGCGTCACGCCAAAACAGACGGATGAACGCAAAAGAACGGAAAAAATGAACCGCGACTCGGGTTGGCCGGGCTGTTGCAGGTTACTTCCCAGGGATCCTAGGATAGTGCGAGTATAGCCACCCCCAGTCCCCACCATTCTGTAAAGGGCAAATCGAGCCAACGGATGCGAGCGGATGCGAGTCGAGCAAAATCGGTGACTCATTTTGTAACTAGGGGTCAGCTTGGACTGCCATTTTGTAACAAAAACCTTCCTCGGTGAACGTTGGGTTCTGCCAACTTGTAAGAAGGGCACCTTGGGGACGCCGTTCTGTAGCTACAAAATGGGGCTCCCAACCCCTCGGGTCCAATCTGAACGGGGATCATATATACCATATATATAGATAATATATATATATATATAGTATATAGATATGTCAGAATATAATGTGACAAACATGAAGAACATATATATATATATATATATATATATATAGTATAATACCAGTAGTACCGCACAAGGCGGTGGCGGAAGTTTCAGAATAGGAAACCTATAGGAGAGCTTGGTTGTTGTGAATCACGGATGGCAGAGCGAATCCACTGACGGACTAAAAGGTGGTTGGAGTTGTGTTTTTTGGAGTGGTTACAATGGTTGCAGTGGTCACCTGGTCGGTCACCTCACCCACAACTGCTGGATGTAGCGTGGTGTAGCGCAGCTGTAGTTGTATTTGTAGTGTAGTGGAGTTGTAGTTGTGGTGTGATGTTGTGCAATTAGTGTATTGCAGTTGCAGTTGCATTTGTGGCGGTGTAATGAGTGTAGTGTAAAGTGCTGTAGGGTCGTGTAGTGTAGTGTGGTGCAGTGTAGTGGAGCGAAGTGTAGCGTAGTGAGAAGTGTAGTGAGAAATGTAGTGAGAAGTGTAGTCAGAAGTGTAGTCAGAAGTGTAGTCAGAAGTGTAGTGGAGTGTAGTGGAGTGTAGTGTGGTGTAGTGTAGTGATATGTAGTGTAGCGTTATGTAGTGTAGTTGTAGTTGTTGTTGAAGTTGTTGTTGAAGTTGTAGTTGTAGTTGGTACCCGGCGCATAGACCGCCGTGGACCGAAATACATATTTTAGCAAAAGGGGGTTGGGTGGGGTGGGGGGGGATATTAACGTTCATGTACCTTGCCTACATACGTGGATGCTACGCTGCTGCTACGGTACTGGGCATGGGTGGGGTGGGGGGGATATTAACGTTCATGTACCTTGCCTACATACGTGGATGCTACGCTGTTGCTACGTCACTGGGCATGGGTGGGGTGGGGGGGATATTAACATTCATGTACCTTGCCTACATACGTGGATGCTACGCTGCTGCTACTCACTGGCGCTTGGTGGGGTGAGGGGGGGATATTAACGTTCATGTACCTTGCTACATACTGGAGCTACGCTGCTTGCTACGTCACTGGGCATGGGTGGGGTGGGGGGATATTAACGTTCATGTACCTTGCCTACATAGGTGGATGCTACGCTGCTGCTACGTCACTGGGCATGGGTGGGGTGGGGGAGGATATTAACGTTCATGTACCTTGCCTACATACGTGGATGCTACGCTGCTGCTACGTCACTGGGCATGGGTGGGGTGGGGGGGATATTAACGTTCATGTACCTTGCCTACATACATGGATGCTACGCTGCTGCTACGTCACTGGGCATGGGTGGGGTGGGGGGGATATTAACGTTCATGTACCTTGCCTACATACGTGGATGCTACGCTGCGGCTACGTCACAATACGTGAAGTCACTGCATAACTACTACTACTACTACTACCACCTACGACTACCTACGACTACCTACGACTACCTACGACTACCTACTACCTGGTACCTACTACTACCTACTAACTACTATTAACTACTACTACCTAATACTACCTACTACTACCTACTACTTCCTATTACTACCCACTACTATCTACTACAACCTCCTACTACCTACTACTACATACTACTACCTACTACTACCTACTACTTCCTACTACTACCTACTACTACCTACTACTAACTACTACTACCTACTACTACCTACTACTACCTACTACTACCTACGACTACCTACTACTAACTACTACTACCTACTACTACCAACTACCACCTACTACTACCTACTACTACCAACTACCACCTACTACTACCTACTACTACCTACTACTACCTACTACTACCTACTACTACCGCCTACTACCGCCTACTACCGCCTACTACCTACTACCTACTACTAACTAACTACTACTAACTACTACTAACTCTACTAACTACTACTAACTAGTACTAACTACTACTATCTAGTACTAGCTAGTACTAGCTACTACTAACTTCTACTAACTTCTACTAACTACCACTAACTACTACTAACTACTACTAACTACTACTAACTACTACTACCTACTACTACCTACTACTACCTACTACTACCTACTACTACCTACTACTACCTACTACTACCTACTACTACCTACTACTACCTACTACTACCTACTACTACCTACTACTACCTACTACTACCTACTACCACTCGAAAAATAGAGGAACTAAAGTGACAAAGAAGTACTGTTTCCGCAAATGTCTGTTTTCCTCTGTCCGCTTGTGACGAAGTCTTGTGTTTACCTAGGTCGAGCTCTAGAGCCAGAACAGTTACATGGACAACAATGTACCTGAGGCATGGTAGATCATGTACCTTTCAAGTCGGGTGTTCTCCTGTAAGTTGGTAAGATGTTGTAACTGGCTCGAGCTCAAACTTCAGTATCTGTGCTTGCCGGAGGACGTGTCCCTCTGGTCTTCATGAATTCAGCGGGGTGTAGTCTTCGTACATACCCCTTCATTGCACTAATTAGTTGCGACCGATCGATGGAACCTTTGGTCATTCCATCGGCTATCATGTCGCGTGTGTCGACCCAACCTAAAATGCGAATGATCTTCGAGGTGGTCAACTGCTTAATCCATGAGATATGAGAGAGTAGTGACTTTTCCGTTGGGTATTTGAAATTTTCATTTTCCACCGCACTGAAAACGGACCTGGCGTCTATCCAGACATAGAGTTCGATAAGGTAACCACCATTTTCTCTTAAATTTATACTGGATTGGGGGCTAAGAGGTCCGAAACATATTTCATGAAGGGTAGTTATGATTATAAAACTTTGATCAACGGATGCTGTGAGTGCCAACAGCTCAGCGGCGAATGTGCTGCGCACCACGAGCTTATGAGATTGAGAAACGGCCTCAATCAAATGGCATCTCTTTACTCCTCTCACATCAGTGCCCATTCGAAGGTATATTGCACCTCTCAGAGCGTATCCCTTGTCATTTTCTCTGGAGAATGCTGAATCAGAATATAGCTCAACAACCCTGCTACAAGTCATTGAACTATACTCTAATTTCTGGGGACGACGTTGAAGCTCTCGGGTGAGTGCATTCAGTCTTTTGACATGTGTAACAGTGGGGTTCTGAGTTACACGTTGGAGGGAAATTATGTAGACTAAGACCCACGCCTGTGTTAGGGCGGAATAGGCAACGGCTCCTAACAAGCTCCAATACAGCGCTCTGAGGTGCTCGGGGCATTGTGCGTCCTTCTGGAGATTGGCATAGTGCTTTGGGTTTATAGGTTTTAATGCACTAAGGTATTCTGTCTGATCAAGAGTGATGGTACCATCTGGGAGTCTTTTATGACATATACCACAGTTTGTAAATTCACTTTCTTGATAAGTCAATTTCCCAAAGTGCCTTTCCAGGGTTTTAACCAAAGAATCTATTTCTGACTTCATACC